TATACAGCGTCTTGTATATTACGACAATCCATCTAGCGCCTGCACAAGAGCTCACTCTCCTCGCTCCATCTCCGCGGTCGACGTCCTCTCTCTCTCTCGCGCAAATACTCGTCCCCTCTTAGCAAGGCGTCCCGTTCAATCCCGCTTAATTCTAGATTTGAAGCTTTCGTGACTGCAAGGATTGATACTCTTATGTTTTTTTGGTAAAGTCACGTAGGTAAAAAATAAAATTAAAATTAATAAAAGTTATAATAGAGATAAAATAAAATAATAAATCATATTTTTTACCTACGTGACTTTACCGAAAAAACATAAGAGTATCAATCCCGCTTAGTTTTGTTAGCCATTAACACGATGTCTCGAACTTGAGTTTTGTTTCTCTCTCTCCCGTTAATCCACGTGCTCCGCTTCTGTTGGCCATCGTTGTTACCCGCACGCACGGAACATCTGCCCGCTTAAATTCTTGGCGCGATTTTTTTAGCTTTTGTTCCAGTTTCTTCGTGCTGTCATCAGTCACCCTCCGAACATATCTCGCGTTCCTTGTCGCGGGCAACGGCCCCGCCAAAGATGCGGAGTCGACACCTCGCCCGGACGGAGAGCGGCCGCTCGCGTTCGACCTCGTAAGCTCAGCTGGTCAGGTTTGAACCATGGTCAGTATTTTGACGAGAGCCTCCCTGGCAAAGACCACGTGTGTGTACGTGGGCTTGGTGCTGCAGTGTGGCCGGGAGATGGCGGCACAGCAATGGATTCGTGAGACCCATCGGTTTTTCTCCTCCCCACGCGGAGCCAAGCCTCTCATGAAGGGAGTTGGCCACATCACCAATGTGGCAGCTTCGATTATCTCGGTTGGCTACGTACGGTACGAAAGAAGTTCAACATACATACAGGACCCTCCTGAAAAAAATGTGTCTTCTGACCCAGTGTGACTTTCCAGGCTACGTAACTTCGCGCAAGAAGAGCGAAACAGGAGAACATCTCCACATATCTGGTTGTCGCCTGATGAAGCTAATTGTAATTACTGGCGAAACGTCGTACTCAGATTGTAAATGTTGTGGATTGGCTCCAGGCTCTCCAAACACACCGGTTAGTGCTGTACTAGTAACGAATTGGCATGTTCTGTTTACGTGACAAACCTTACTAGTTGGTTGTCGGGTGGTGGCAGGTTTTAGACACATTTAAAAAGTTCACGCGATCTAACCGAAAAAAAAAATCTGTGTTATGGATGATATTGGTCGCGAAAGCCTACTACGTGTTAAATTAATAAGGCAGTACATTTTCTTGCTGTGGTTTTCACACCTGATGATGATTGCTTGTGTTGCAATCGAAACGTCGTGATAATTTTTTTGTTGTATTTTTATTATTTTATTATTTCTCTTCTACGTGACTTTACCGAAAGAACCAATAATATGAATCCGTGCAGTCACGAAAGCTTTAAATCGTAATAAGGCAGTGTTTGTCATTATTAACAGAGCCGTAGAGTCCACCAAATCAACACGGAATGAGCGCGATCGCGTCCAATCTCGGAAGCTAAGCAGGTCATCAGCCTGCGTAGAGCTCGAATTGTGGTGACCACCGCAGGTTGTTGGAGGTGGCTTACGGTTCTGCCCAATCAGATCCCCATGCGAAGCGAATGCCAAGGCGGTCGGTGCGTACGTCACTGTGTGTGTGTGTGCGCGAGCACGCCGCCAGAGTGTAAGCGGTGAGCGCTACGATGCGCTACAAACCTGGCACAACCCGAGCACCGATTCCCGCTCACGGCCAACATCAGTGACGGTTGTCTGAACCGGTCTTGGGCCTCCCCTAGGTCGACTCAGCCTCAAATTAGTACCTGGTACAATGCGTCAACATTGCCACTTGAGAGAGATAAAGGCGGCCGGACGTGATAATGGCCACCCCCCCCCCACACACACTGATCGGTCTTCACAGGTGCTGCTCGCTAACAGCACTTGCCCCAAACGTCTGTTGAAGGCTATACGGGGCGGCGGGTGGTGGGAATCTTTGGCTGTGTCTTTGTGCGTGCGACCAGCTTCATTGGAACTTTCTCAACACCGTTGCACGCGCGTGATGATGATGTAGGGTGAGTGGTGGGTGGTGGTCTTGACGTTTTCGGCGCGTCTTTATAGTTCAGATAATACGTTTAAACAGAAGCGGAGAAGAGATCTCGATTAATATTATTATGACAGGGAGCGGGAGGAATTCGCTCGAGCGAAGCCAATGAAGGCGCTGGTGCTTAGAGACCCCCGTCTCATCGAGCCCCCCCCCACGCCCCCGCTCCCCCAGGTGGCGGTGACGCTGATGAATCGACAACAACCGGGGAGAGATGTTTGTTTTCCTTCTCGTGATTTGTGTCGAGTACCGAGGACGGTGTTTGTTTGGGATCATTTTAAAAGGCGTCCCCGACAAATAGGAAAAGGTGGTGGAGAAGAAGGGGGGGGGGGGTGGAGGGGTTGTTGGGAGCGAGGGATGCGAAGGGTGCATGGTGGTGGAAGTCGGTTCGAGGGGGTGCGGGAAGAGATAATAATCTCCATCGCCTGGTATGCAGGAGGTCGTCGGCTTCATCACAACCCTGACGCCTGCTGTATATTTGGAGTTTGCACGGTCTCTCTCCCTGTGGTCGCGTGGACTTTTCTCCGGATCCTCCGGGCTTTCCCCTCCACATCGAGAAACGTGCGTTTCGAGTATTTTTCCTGCTGTTCATTTCCACGTGATGAGCCACTTCGTTGAGCTATATTTCTCGGTGGGCCTTATCTTGTGAAATACAAAGTTTAGTTGAATATCTAGTTGTTTTGATTTATTTTACATCATGGGACCTCCTTCGCCAGTACCAAAATATGAGAATAAGTTTTTCCCATTTTTTCTGGCAACAAAACAGGTGTTAAGTTGTTAAAACACCAAACTGAAACCTTTTACAATGAATCATGTCTTGCTTTATTTTATTCACCAAGGCAAAGTCTCACAGAGTTTCAGTCTCAAACAGGATCCTCCTGCCATTCGGGATGTCTGGCCCATGCCACGAACGAGCGCTTGGATTATCTTGACAGAATTGGCACGTGGACACGTGCAGGCAGATCTCCTTGTGAATCCCACCGCCGCTAAACGAGGGTCACGGGGCCGGGTTATTTGATCATACCTCACCGCTTGGTGCGTGGGAGGAAAAACTGGAGGTGCAAAGCCCACCCTTGGGAAACCATGCGTGACGAAGGCGGGGGCAACTCTGCAAAGTCTCGCGCAGTCGGATTGACGAACCCACTTGCTGTACTGCCCCGTCACCTCCCCTGGCCACGTCGCAGCCAAGTGAGTTCGGGGGTGGGAGTTGCGCAACTATTTGCGTGATCCACCAAATCCTCGCCTCCAAAAGCGATGGCCACATGGGCTTGCTTCGCCGCTCGAAGCCGGACCTGCCACCGCTCCCGTAGCTGATTACACTGCGCGCCTTTAATTGCTGTGACAGTCATTTGCAGGAAACCATGCACGACTGGCCCCGATCCCAGCACCCCATCGCCCCGTGTCACCAGACGCCTCTACCCCAACTCCCATCTCTTCCTATCTGCTCCACTCCCACCCCCCCCCCCCCCCCTTTACTCCGAACCTCGTTGCCCCACCGCCCAAGCACAGCGCGGCGTACCCTGCAATGACCCGCTCTCATAATATCCCTTTCGGCGGAGGCGGGCGCGCTTGGGAGACCGTTAACGTGATCTGTACGGGCAGCGGCCGGCCTTCTCTCCGCGCTAATTGCCGCGCGCTTTAATTAAAGCGGCGTCCGTCTGCCGCCCGCCGGCTCCTCTTTGCTTTCCCCCCCAACGCCGCTCCCCCGCGCCCCCTCCACCCACCACAGCCCCCCCCCCCCCCCCACAGACCCCACTCCCTACCATTCCTCCTCCACCGCTCATCAGCAGATACAGGTTTCCCTCGCTTTACGCGGTAGATGCATTCCTAAAAAAATATAAATAACATAGAGCGCAGAGTCCACCCAACCCGCGATGAACCACACGAGACGGCTGCTTGCTGAGAATATTTGGTATCTTTAAAAAAAAGTTTTAAACATACAATTATACATCCCTCATAGGGTATGTCTCTTTTCTGTAGCCCATTCTCTTCCTCTTCCCGCCCCTCTTCCCTCCACTCCTTCCCGTCCCTCCCCTGTAGCCCTTTGGTGATCCCCAAGTCCGCCGCGATCGCGCGCGTCACTCATTCCTCAATCCTTGTAGCACGCCACTGATATCTTGGTGTATTTCCACCGTGTGTTAAACCATGTCAAGTCCCTTGAGTGAGGGCACTCGACGAACGTAACATTTTAAACGAGATTCCAATCATTCAATTTAAACTCCATCCCCATGCGCTACTACCGACTCACGCCCGGTGCCTTGCGAGAGCCGGCTTGGCCCGTGTCTGCATCGGTGGCCAAAATAGTCCCCCCCCCCCTCCGCTATTATCCATCCATCCTTGCGGAGATGGATTTGGCCGAGGGCCCAACCCAGCATCATTCCCATCCAATGGAAACAGCTCCCGAGTGTGCAGGCAGTGCAACTGCACCTGGGGCACATAGTTCCGCTATGAAGAGGGGGGGGGGGGCATTGGATAGGGCACTCGTCCCCCCCCCACTCCATTTAATTCCTTATACCAGGCCACTTGCCAACCATGCTTCATCACTGATGAAGCGCCATGTGTACATCAATACGTTATGCATATACATAAAGGGGGTGGGTCTTGTTAATAATACTCAAATTGTCTGCAATGTGGCCCATCTTGCCGTATCTTGGAAGCCGAGCAGAGGTTTGTGAGCCTGGCCAGTACCGTAGGCACAAGAAAGCGTGTCTGGGAATACCATGAAGCTCGCTGGAGGCTTCGGCTGGGAGTTGGCCCGAGACATGCCAGTCCATTCACGGATTCTTGCATCCTTCTGCACAGAACGTTCGTGCATTACTCACCGAGCACGCAAGCGATGCTCTCGTCAAAATGGTCTCGAGACTCAAAAGAGAGGCATTTCTGGGTAAACACAGTACATTTAGTTCTTATTAATTTATTTATTTTCCACTACACAGCAGAAACAACACAAGCGGCAAGCAGACAGTCTCCCTGAGGAGTGGTAATTATTTGCCGGAGAGATGGAACGATGACATTGGGACCCGCGCTGGAACAAGATGGATTGCTGTGGCACACGACGCGGTGAGAGACTGCATGCTTTCAAGCCAGCAGCGGATGGAGAATGGCTGGCGGTGACGACAATGACGACGGCAAAGATTTATTGGCCGCTGGTGCAATATAACAGGATCTATTTTCTTTAAACTTTGCTGAAAAGAAATATTTAAACTAATACTCTTTGATGCCAACTTGGCAACATAAATACATTTTTTTTACTTTACCGAGAAGTTACGAGCTTGTCACGTTAGCGGGATTATTTAATGCGGAGTTCGGGAGGGAGAGGGAGGAGAGAGAAAGAGGGGAGAGTGGGAACCACAGGAGTCTGGAGAGGAGAGAGTGGGTTCATTTTGCCAAGGGGGGGGCAGGGGAAGAAAAAAAGAGAGAGAGTAGCCATAAAGAGAGAGAGAGGAGAGGAGCGGCAGCAGGCAGGCAAGGCAGGGGGTGGGGAAGTGGCCTCTACGCGTTGTCCGTGCATTTGAAAGCGGTTTTCTCTCCCAAAGACATTAACGCAAAGCGCCCCCCCCCCCCACCTGATGTCAGGGCAAGGCTTCACGATCTTTTGTAGCCACAAAAAGCGCAAGCGGTTGAGGTTTTTGCATTTGGCTGGTTGGTTGCGCATGCGCGCGCGGGCACACTGTGCGTTACTAACGTAAAAAACGTTATGACATTTTTAGTTGCGGCGGTGCCGCGGTGGATGCTGCGCTGTACTATGAACCTGACCACCTTGGATCGATTCACGGCAAGCGGCATCTCAACTGTTAGCCACCCAGCACTGACCAAGCAAAGCGAAGTACGGTCAAACAACCTCCACAAGGTGTGGAGATGACTACATCCAGCAGTAGAGTGATGAGGGGCTGTAAATAATTGTGAAATTAAAATGTTGTAGTGTATTTTGGTGGGACCATGGAAGCACTCGATCAGCACAACAATTATTTGTGTACGCAAATTAAATATAAATAACTCGCACAAGGAACCATACAGTCGGTTTAGTTACCTACTACTACAGCCTTGTTACTGAACGAGGTTTAGTTGGGTGCAGCAATCTACAAAGAGTTGGTGGCTCACACAGAGATGATGTTGCGCACGCAACACAACAACATGGCCATGAGGTGGCTGTCGGGTGAAAGGACAGCAATTGTTTCCGAGTTGCTACTTACGTTAATTTTGTGTGTACACGTGGATGAGACATAAGACTCAGCGAGACTTTCCTGAGCACAATTAAGTAGAAGAAAAAAAAAACTCACATTGTATTTATCACGAGCCGGCAACCTAAGTTTGATTCCAAAGCCGTGGGTAACATCTGTGCTTAGTAACCTGCACTGACTAGCGTGGTGAAGTATGGTCACACGACGGCTGTGACTCACGCGGCGTAGCCAAGCCTTTATCCAGCAGTGAACTGACACAAGGGCTCAACAACAACCAGTGGCAGCATCCGTCCAAGGATTCCTTTAAACAACAAGAAATACGGCCCAAGGGTTCGGAGGTCCGGGCCCTGGGCACTGATGTCACCGCCGCAGAGGGCCCGTCTCCACCTCCTCCTCACGCTGCTCCATCTCCCGCCCTGTCGCAAACGGAAACACGGCGTTAGAATTCAAACGGTGGCGGCGCGCCAATCGGCGTGGCGGCGGCGGCTTTTGTGGCGTATTCCCGCAAAGCAAACGAAGTGGCCGAGAGGAGCAGGAAAAAGTCTCACCGCTCCGTGGGTCGTATCTCCTGAAAACCGTCCTCTTCTTCCCGTCGCTTCCCACGACGGTCTTGCGCTCCTCTACCGTCTGGTGGTTAACGCGCGCCCACAAAACATGCAAATCCGTCGCCAACAGCTACATAACGCGGCTTACACTTGTACGATTACAAGTGCTTTTGTTGTGATCCGCTATCGGATTAAGGGGCTGCTCCGCGTCATGCGGGTCTCTCTGTGGGTAATTTGACCACAGTTCACCGCGCTGGCCAGTGCAGATTGATGAAGGCGGGGCGCAGAGATGTTGTCCCATAGTACAGTACAACAATCGACTTTGCTGCACTGCCGAGTGAACGTTAATTACATACATGTATAGATGTGCAAAAGAACACACAAACACACACACGGGTGCCTATTTTAGGGCAGAGCATCTGATGCAACTGTTGTTAGCGACCACCTATTTAGGCCAATATGGAACAATATAGTGGGGCCTATACTACCACGCACGCCCGGCTGCCTCTGTCTTGCAAGTGATCTCAACACTATGCAACTATTATTGGGCAGGGATTGTAGCGAGTTGTTTTCTAAACCATAACATCACCACTGCTCTAACACAAACAAGAAGCCGCATGACGGACATTCACAAATGCATACACTTACGCGAGCACACACGCACACACACGCCGGCATTCATAGCAATCAGTCAAGAAGAAGAGATATACGAGTTAAGGACTTTTCATTCAAATTACCATCATGACAACGCCTTAAAGGGAAACGCGTGGAACCCCTTTTAAGAAAGATATCCAAGTAAATTGAATGCTTTTTTATCATTAAAAAGGCTCAACAGTAACGCAATGGTTAAAACGGTCGATTCTTTGTGAGCAGTGAAAGCCGTGCGGTTAAAGGGAAAAAAAAAACGAGCGAGTCTACTTAATTGCTGCGCTTGCCATCTCTCAAATCCTCGCATGCGTTGTTAAACCTATTTTTTTCAAACTATAGCGTGGCTTAAGTGCCGTTTCTTTTTTTTGGGTGAGGAGGCAGGGAGGAGCGGGGTGGGGGGGGTGCAGTTTTGACGGCCTGGTAATGAAGTAGAAGGCAGAGCCAAATGAAAGGCAGTGAGGCGGAAGGACGGAGCGTGTTTGAGAGAGGGCCAGAATGCAGGAGACCGAAACGTTACGAGAGATGGCAAGAGAGAGAACGCCGCGTAGACGGGCGGCAACTTCTTAACGGACGGAACCCGCACGGGACTTTTTCTTTTGTACGGCTAACGTAGACGTAGAGCAACGACTACAATTCTAGATTTGAAGCTTTCGTGACTGCAAGGATTCATACTCTTTGGTTTTTTCGGTAAAGTCACGTAGGTAAAAAAGAAAATGAAAAAAAATTAAATCACGACACACTTAAGCGGTTGTGCTTTCGCTACGTTGTCCCCACCTGAAAAAGGACGCTTGTGTTGCGCCCAAAACGTCGTGATTTAATTTAGTTGTTATTTATTTTATTAGATTTTTTACCTACGTGACTTCAACGACTACAATTTCACGTTCAGGTGGTCAAGCCGGATAACCGCGTCAGGAGCAGGGGAGTGTACCGCTGTATTTGTGGATCGGGTACCGCATCGCTACATGTTGTACGGTCTGTTCTGGATGACCACAATCGCACATTGGAGAGTTTTCCATTTGTGCATCAGGTATCTGCATCTGCCATGCTTCGTACAGATGCGGTTTCGGGTGGACCATGAGCTTCGCGGAAGATCAAAACTCAGGGATATTCAGCGTTAGGTCATGCATGACACGCAACTCAATTTCTACGATTTGTTTACCCCAATGTGATCGGACTGAATAAGACAGGATTTAATGTTTTCACATTATGCAAGAGCTAAAACAAACCAGTCAATACATGAGCATAGAACAACTTTTTTTTTTTCTTCTACTGCGTGCAATGGTAGCCACACACCCATCAGTGTGCAATACACTGGGATGGTGCCGAGCTAATGTAAAAGCTTTTCCTTCAATTTCCACCAACAAAAATGAGCCGAGCAGATTTGTTCGAAGCATTTTTCTCTCTCGTAAATCATCAGGGGGTCCCTCCTCCTCCTCCTCTCCTTTCTCTGCCATATCAGGCCTCTTTTCCCCCCTTATATCTCTCTCCCTGTGAAAACCCAAAACCTGCAAAGGCCATCACAAGCCCAGATGTCTGCCTCCCCTACAGAGTCCGGGCCCCCAATAAACCCGTCACCCAAGCGCACGCATTAGATTAACGAGGGAACGCAAACGACTTTTAAACGAGTGCTCACGCCCGCCCACCGCGTTTGGTCTCCATGTGTGAGTTACGTTTGTCCCTTTTTACCTTCTAAAAAAAAAAAGGAGAGGGAGTGGAGGCCCTCCACTTTGTTTCCCCCCCTCTCTCTTTCTACTGTCCATGAATCATGGGCATATCGTATATTATGGCTGTTTGCATAAGGAACACAGTTCTGGGTCCGCCGTGCCGCCTGCATGCCGCAAGAGTCTACTTTTATGTCCTCCGGGACAATACGCTCGCGACCCCACGGTCAGGACTTTAAATTACAACTTTTGCCACCCCTTTGCCGTGCTGCTAAAGGGCCGGGGCGAAGCGTCGCTACGAGCAGAAGTCGTAGCCGAGTGGGGTTAATGCGGTCGATGTAAATCTCCACGGCTGCCTTGCCCTCTCTCGTTCGATAAAAAGCAAATTACCTTCGGTAAAACGAACAGGGGGCAGGTACTTGAGCGCAGTGATCTACCCGTGCGGTGACTGCAACCACGTGGCAAGGAGGAGGAAGTGGAATCGCTGTCCGGGCTTGCGCTCGATGAGCCATTTAAACAAATGCCTCGCTAACTAAACAAACCGATAAACAACCAAAGAACACAGCTTTCCGTTTCTCGTGTTGGCACGATGTTTCCTGAATTTTACGTGAACGAAAGCGAAGGCAATAAGAATCCGGCATAATTAACCAATTAATTTAATTCACTTCACGGAAACTAAAATGGAAAGTTAACAAGCGAAAAATAAACTTTACACAATTACCTGATGGAATCCTGCCAAATAACCGTTTCCCAAGCTAAAAATATGAAAAAAAGGTTAGCTTATGACTTTAGTACATCTACACATTTTCATTCTCACAAAGAGCATAATTCCTACACTTTACTCTCAAGACGTGAACAGAAATAAGGAAATATGCACCAAACAGTATGAGAAACGAAGCACATGTGGATTGTCAGGATGTGCCAGTTTAAACATCCGCTTCCTTCTCATCTCATTGTAATTTGTGATTTTGTCAATGAATCATCGTTTGACACGAATGCTTATTGTAAACAACTCTTCAATGCTTCACGCGAGAGGGAGCCACGCTATTTACTACCGGGCGTGATGGCGCACGCCTGCGATCCAGCGCTTTGTCTGCCAAGGGTTTGGTGGCTTGCGTAGATTTGGTGGCCTGGGGATTGGGCAGTAGAGTTAACGGTGTTCTTAACCTATCTGTGCAGACCTTTAAGGCCAGAATTTTCTCTGGATACTCCAGTTTCCTCCCACACGAAGCCAAACAATGTTTAATATAGGGGTGGGGGAACCTGTGGGACTGTGGACACATACAACTTCGTTTCAATCAACCCAATGAAAACATGAGGCCTACCATGTTGAAAAAGCCTGCAAACGATGCTTATCCATCACCAACAGTATTTTAGCCACACTAATCGGGTACGAGAGGGAGACATATTTGACCTGGCAACACTGTGATTCTAAATTTGGCAAGCTCAGTCACTTTCCGTCCCCACAAAGGACCTCTTTGCAATGACAGAAGTAGCTGTTGTGCGTGTTAGTGAATGTGTGGCCTGACAAAGATATGTGAATGTCCTATTCGGTCAAGAAAATGGTTTGGAATTGGCCATATATCCACATGCAGAACCCGATTGATGTTCAGTAAGTATTTCCGGGATAAATAAATGACAAAATATTGAGATACCGTGAATGCTTAAGCAAAGCAATAAGTGCAATGTTTCTAAGGGTATAATATGGCAGCACAACCTTAATACATCAGTTTCATACCAGTGACAATACCAGTGCTACCTAATTCATAAGTACGTGAAAATGAAGTTTTGTAAGAAGATAAATTAATGTTTAGAATTATAAGAGCCCCATAACTCTGTCGTCATAAATTTAAAATTAAGTTTATCAGCAGCCGCTTTCCCAAACCTGTGCGAGACATCGGATGCGAGGCGACAAATGACATCAACAAGAAACTGGGAGCAGACGTCGTTTCTGATAAGTGAGGGCTGCCTTGTATACAATGGATTGGACATTTGTTTGGAAAAAAGCTACTTGGAAAAACTATCGAGTCGCGCGATGAAATTTAAACAAGACTCTCAACACGGAAATATTTACTTCCGCGGAATTACGAGGGACATTTCTACACGGTCCACGGTTTGTTGACTCGCGAGCAGCACATTTGGTGCGCGTCTCCTCGACAAATGAACAAATCTCTCACGCACGCATGCACACACAAGGATAATAAGTACATGTGGTATTTGCGGCATTCTTGTAGCACAAAGGCGCTCCGGTTCTTCCTTGCAAGCTGTACAGAACATCATCATTTTAAATCTAGTGCAGTACTGGCTGGCAGTGAAAAACCACTCGCAGTGACCGGCGATGTGTAGATTGGCTGGAGATTGTAAAACCGTGGGGGTTCTTATCTAAGTGCATGGGACGACCAGGTCGCCGTGTGCGTCTGACTGGAGTTGATGACGATTGGCATCGGCAGAAATTGCCACGCACATCTCAACCAAACCAAATGGTGCACTTTTGGTGCGCGTGCGTACACACGCAAGCCGGCACCCTCACTCATACGCACGAGATACGCGGAGCGGAATGTGACGCGACGCGGAGTGAAAATGGCGCCGGGCGCTCACCCCGTCGGGCATGGTGACTGTGGAGACCGACACGCTGCTGATGAAGGAGTGGACGCCGGGGGCGTGGCCCGGGGTGACGGAGGACCGGGGCTCAGGGGTGGATTTGGGCGGTAGTTGACGCAACAGAGAGTCCAGCCCTTCGGACTTCACGCGCGAGTCCAGATCTTGACAAACGCGCGCACACACACACACACACGCGTGCTTGATTAATGTTGTACGTTAAACCTTAGTGACAGACAGCCGGGGTAAGTGCTGTTGGGGCGCTGCAGTGGTGAGATGTTAAATCCCTCGCTTGATATGCAGGAGGTCGTGGGTTCGATCTCGACCCTGACGCCTGTATATTTGGAGTTTTGATGCTCTCCATGTGGTCGCGTGGATTTTTCTCCGGGTCCTCCGAATTTTCCCTCGACATTTAGAAACACGTGTTTGGAGTATTTGGCTGCTATACATGTCCACGTGGTAAGCCACTTCGTTGGGCTATTATTTGTGGCCTGGTCGCTTCTGAAAAAGAGCTTCATAACTTAGGTGGGCCTTACTTCGTAAAATAAAAAAAAAATTTGGATTTGTTGAGTTGCCAAGCACCTATTAAGGTCGGCATTGCACGACGATGCAGTGTGTCCAGTAGGCATATAACGGTGCATCGATTAAAGGTGATTACTACGTGCACAACACATGCTCTGACTTGCACTTGTGAGAATTGGTTATTTACAATTTGTGGACATTATTTTTTATACAGAAACGTTGAGGCTGATGGAGTCAACAGAACTGTACAAATGGGGCAGACGAAACAAGAAACTATCCAATGTGGACTGACAAAATATGACAAAAATATCTTCCTGTTTTGAATCGTGACCATAATTCATACATAATCAACGATTTTTGGGTTTAGATCGCGTTTATTTATAAATGTGTCGTAACCCTCCACCACCCGACACAGCCAATCAGTAAAAAATGTGTCACGTTGACAAAGACAAATAGTTCACTGCTTTAGCCCACCGGTGTGTTGAAGCAACAACATTCACAATTTGAGTACGACGTTTCGCTGGTAATTACAACCAGCATCATCGGGCAATTCGCCAGAATGGTGAGGCTCTCCTGTGTCTCCCGTTCTTATATAGAGCAGCAGCAGGATGACGTCATCATTAACTCATTAACTCATCAGGTGCAAAGATTCAAGGGGGGAGTGATTGTAATTATATACTAGATTAGTAATCAGGCTATTGTTACGATGCGAGTTGTAGATTAGTAATCATTTGGAATGTGTTTTATTGTGATTATGCTACATTAGTAATCTGTTAGTGGTTGTTTCCCTTATAAGTAATTGTAATGTATCTTATAAGGGAAACAACCACTAACAGATTACTAATGTAGCATAATCACAATAAAACACATTCCAAATGATTACTAATCTACAACTCGCATCGTAACAATAGCCTGATTACTAATCTAGTATATAATTACAATCACTCCCCCCTTGAATCTTTGCACCTGATGAGTTAATGATGACGTCATCCTGCTGCTGCTCTATATAAGAACGGGAGACACAGGAGAGCCTCACCATTCTGGCGAATTGCCCGATGATGCTGGTTGTAATTACCAGCGAAACGTCGTACTCAAATTGTGAATGTTGTTGCTTCAACACACCGGTGGGCTAAAGCAGTGAACTATTTGTCTTTGTCAACGTGACACATTTTTTACTGATTGGCTGTGTCGGGTGGTGGAGGGTTACGACACATTTATAAATAAACGCGATCTAAACCCAAAAATCGTTGATTATGAATAACATTGGTCGCGAAAGCCTACGTGTTAAACTGATAATTCATACAGTTGCTGTGGGGGGGTGTAAGGTACCATATGCATGCAGTGTGACATTTGTAACTCAGTGCTGATATTCACGAAAAAACAAAGACAACCTCTTTTAGTCTGCACTAATGTGGAGGAGACCCAGGCCAGATTCATGCATCACATACTTTTAATGTGCAGAGCCCATGGTAAAAAATGCTGTACAGCACAAGGCGCAAAAACTGCAGCGTTATAATTTACCCATTTCAAGTGGATGGACTACCAATTTGCAAATTTGAAATCAAGCATGGTGCAGCTGTTAAATGAACACAAACGCTTAATCTCTCCAGCAATATTTTGTTTCATTTAGCCGAAATCTCGCAATTGTGTTCAAATGACAAAACCACAGTGGCAATGCCTGTGCAAAATAAAATGGGCCATCACCTGGTACAGCAATCAACGCTTGGCGAAATTACTTTAATTAGTGCTTTCAAAACTTCCTGGATGATTCAAGCGTGAATAAAAAAAACACCTGTGCACAGGATTAGCAGCGGGTGCACGCAGTGACGGGAGAGTTTATAGAAAATGATGGCATTAAGGCTACTTTTAGCGGCACAGCGAGCGTTTTCCTCTGCGTTTGCGTGGTTACGTGGTTTCTGTAATGGCGTACGTGCGGCGTGGCACGCAGACATATGTTAAATGTGCTTCCTAGTGGCGCGCACGCACGCACGCGCACAAGCGGGGACACGGGCCGCAGGCCGCGGCTTACCCTGGTCCTCTTTGATTGCGGGATGGTGCATGGGTGGCTGGAAAAATCCTCTCCTAAAAAAATCAAACTGAAAAACAAAAGAAAAATCAAAACGCCCAGCAAAAAATAGATTAATAGTTAATACATCGTTGTGTGGCACTCTCGCCAATCCACTGCTGGATGGATGCGTCACCAAGGCATGTTTATCACGGGAGTTGAGGGTTGTTTGACCATACTTCGCCACGCTGGTCAATACGGGTTAAAGGGAGGAGCCCAGGATCGGTCCAGATATAAGTCTTCACTGATGTTAGCCGTGGCCATGAATTGAACTCTGGCCGGCGGTTCATAGCACAGTGCGATTTAATACAGCACCATATTTGTGCAAAAATGCAAATAACAAACATTTGTTGCAATAAGCATCTTACCAGCCTCATTTTCAGTTGAAAAATACACCACAAAATGGCGTTTTGAAAAAGTGCGATCACGGCTTATTACATACTGAGCACTTGTACCCAAAATGTACATATATAAATAAAATAAAACCTTACAAAACCTGAACGTTAGATCTTTTGTACGAAACAACGGGCACAGAACGCACTGCAAACAGCAGCAAGGCGACCAAAAAAAAAGCACTGCGGGCTGTAGATCAGTGGTCTAGTTACAGACCGTGACTTTGAGGCGATTTAGTCCCAGTTACACATTAACGGGGTCGCAATCAGCCGTGGCCGGAATGTAAGCGAAAGGGTGGCGAGCGTGCAGCGCGCGCAACCGGCGATCTCATTTTAATTCAAAATTAAGGCCAAGTGAGAGAGAGAGGGAGGGACGTGGTGGGTGGGAGGCGAGAGGGGAGGTGTTTGGAGTGCCCACAAAATAAATAAATGTCACGGGCTCGGTCGTAAATTACCGTGGTGCTCGCCCGCCAAAACATAAATCGAGGACGGTTTCGTTGATTTCACCCGTCGAGAACGAAACGCGCCGGGTTTCCATATCCATCTCCATCAGCCCCGCCACTTTTATGGTGACGAATCGAATTCCAAAGGGAACGCTACATTGTTCAGGCAAAGTTTTTGATCCTTTTTTTGGGGGGGATTTTTGTTTTGTTTTTAAACTCTACGGCTTTTCAGCACTCCCTCTCTTTATGTATATTTTTTTCACACGTCCTAAGCGTGAATTTCGTCTTGTCAAACTGTTGTTTCAAGTCAATCTTGCATTGACGAGCGATGGGAGAATCGCACGGGTTTATGCAAACTCGCCGTCTTCCCACGAGCAACCAAAGCGCATTCCGCATTCAACCACAAACACAATCTAGTCACTCCAAATAATCCTTGTAAAAAGCAGGACGCTTGTGTTTAAACAAATGAAGACAATGAGATTCCAAAAGGAATTATAACAAAATTTTAAAACTCTAATGTTTGCTGGACAATGCTTTTGTTGTTCTCAGTAAACAAAAAATCTAAAATAAAATATAAAACAAAAATGCAGGCAGTGACTATTTACAATCAGATGGGGCAAGGAAACGTTCTAAACCATTGTGGGGGTGAAAAAGTTAATATAAAAAAACCAATAAAAAGTCTCACCATTAATTGCACCGTGGTATTTCACAACCGACGTACAGAAGAATCAGAACGAACTTAAACAAATTTGCAAACGAACAAATACCAAGTCGAATGGTCTGGAGGGATGTGCTGGCAGCCCGTCGAACGATCCCCGGTTGCTGGGCGGCGAGCTGTCCACGGGAGGCCGCCGCGGGTCCCCGCCGTGGCCCCCACCTCTGCCCGGGAGCCCCCCACGGGAGGGAGCGTGGGGTCCGGCACGAGGTTCGTCGTCGGGGCTCTTGAGCATGTAGTCTCGGAGAGACTGTCCTTCCTTGGGGCCCGGCTGGCCATCAGGCCCTAGAAGCAAAGGCAGGTCTACCGTGACAATAGGAAGTTGGCACAAATTCTGTTACGAAACCATTATTTTGCTGTATAAGTGACGGATTTTTTTGAGTATTTATATATATAGATTCTCACTTATGATCCGTGTGCATGATAATCAAATTCATAAGTGTCGCTAAAAGCCCCACTCAAAGGAAAATAAAGTAAAAGGATAAGCATTATCTTGCTATAATTCACACAGTGTTCAACTAAAATCCATGTGACTTAACCAAGGTAACACATATCATTTGGGTCTTTCGGTAAAGTCACGTAGATAGGTTAAAAGAAAATAACAAAATAACAAAAAACTACGTTTCGATCGCAACACAAGCGGTCGACCGTTTGTGTTGCGATCGAAACGTCGTAGTTTTTTGTTATTTTCTTTGAACCTATCTACGTGACTTTACCGAAAGACCCAAAGAATATTAATTCCTGCAGTCACGAAAGCTTTAAGTCAAGAATCAAGGCAACACATTTAAAACAATGATGACATTCTGTCAATTTTAACAGTACTCTTGTGGTAAATATTTCTCATAATTAAAAGTGTTAATAATTATTCATGATTAAAATTCCTCACTTTGAGGTTCAAAACAAAATGCACTACGCTTGGGAATCCCCACAAGACAAAGAAACATTAGAGAATGATCCTATTAGATAAAAAAAACCCCACTTTCAATATTTCTCCACCAGGTCTCAAATACAATTAACATATGGTTCGCTTCACATCAACTGCCGGTATTTTAAACTAGAGGGTTGGACTGGACTGAAATAAGTGCCACATTTTAATGTTTATGTTCAGTCTTCTTTCGGAATCATCAGTGGCCAGGCTGAGACCACCGAATTCTTATTCATACATGACCTCGACTCAGAAGCGGTGACTCAAATCTATGATCTTGATATTGTTTGACTGTGATTTTTTTCCAGGCGATACACACAGTGACCACATAGTTGACTTGCGCCCGAGGTGCCATTCGTTCGAACTGCTGATACAGTATCTCCGAACCAGCACTTGAAGCGTCTCAGCAATCCTACATAAGTATCGGGTGATAATGTAACATCACATGATGTGGCTGGGCTTCCTGATGGAGCGAGTGCATGGCCAGAGGGTAGGGGAGGGCATCAATCCGGACAAAGCCCGACGTGACACCACAGCAATCATTGCCGACTGGTCCGTTAACAATGCCACGCCAAGCCTGCCATGCCTTTATCTTAGAATAACAGTGCCTGATGCTCAACAGAGCGAAAAGTCTTGATAACAATCATTTTGTTGATCTCTCTGCGACGGAGAAGGACCGTTGCCGAAACGTCGCCCATTAAATATTTTTCCCGCTTTAGAGCGAGGAGCGTTGTTGACAGATGAATGTTGAGTTTCTGCTTATTTATGCATGTGCACTACTGCCAACGCAGTATCGCAATTAAAAAAATGGTTGTTTAAGTCCCTTGTAAAGGTCACCGATGTGCACAACGGGGCTTAGCGCCGGCACGGTTATGGCCGCGGCATACCGAAGCGACGCGGCGGCTGCGCGATCGTGCTGTCAATGTTCTGGAAGAGCTGCTCCATCTCGTGCAAGATGTTCCCGAAGCCCAGGTTGTCATGGAAACGGAACAGCTCGTCCGGCCCAACGCTCAGGCCGAAGCCGAAGCGCTTGCCGTCGCCCTCTCTGGCCCCGCCCCAACCGGGCGGGAATGAATCGTCGTTCTCGTCGTCATCTGCTAAGAGGCCAAAGCCGCCGAAGTGGTGATCGTCATCTTCGTCGTCGCGCCACGGACCCCCGAAGAAACTTCCCTCGGAGTCCCTAAAGTGGTGGGGGGAGGAGGGGGAAGATACAATTAGACAATCTTACAGTTATACGTTTGTTCTCCTTATACATTGGTTTGCAATGTTTCTTCTGTTGCTTCAGTTTGCCCATTTGAAATACATTTTGTAACAGCTGAACCTTATGGTGGTTACTCCGGGGTACCATAGTACCCTGGCTCTCGCATGATGTGTGCAATTCAGTCATTTTTAGTCTGTTCATGGTCGGCGATGCGGCATTCGACTCATCTCGACGAGCTGTACACGATGCACCACTACGGTGCGTACGAGCGTTCAGGGTTTCAGTGCAATCGTCCTCGCTGCGTTTCGACATCGCGGAGTAACACCGATTTCGGATTGATTGGTACCCCAGTCGTGGAGTGAAGTACACCTCTGGAAAAAATTGTGTCCCAGAAATAAAACATTTAATTGCCTCGGCCATTTTGTATTATTTGGTACCCCGGGTACCGCCATAATGATCATCTATCCCTCGTTTATGCTATTAGCCACTGTATTGTATAATGAACAAAAACAAAGATCGCCCATATAGCCTTTAACAGACTGTTGGGTAAAGTGCTGTTAGTGAGCACCTATGAAGGTGTGCAAGGCACACGATGGGATCGGGGGTGGCTAGCTCCATGTTCGACAGCCTGTCTCCTCGTGCTGCTGATGTTTGCACACCACACCGGGTAATTATTGAAAGCTGAGTCGACCTAGGGGAGGCCCATAATCAGTTCAGATATTCGCCACTGTTTTTGGTTGTAAGGGCAAATCGAACTCGAGTCGCCGGGTTTGTAGTGCAGTGCTAGGGAGGCTTTCATTGAGAAACGGATTGACAAAGGCCTGTATCATTATATCATGATACTGTGTTCCGCATTATCCAGTTGAAGGAATATTAGCATTAACGTGTGGTTCTCATACCCAAAACGCTACAGATTAATTAAAATCCCAGTTGAGCATCGACTCAGCTGTTCATCACTCTTATATGCTAAAATGGGTATTTCTATGTAAAAAAAAAACACGGTAATAATAATCTAGAGGTTGTCCTATGCATTGACTTGCAATAGGAATGTGGAATTTCCACGACTCGCTCAGCGCAATAAACACAAGATAAGGACCGTCTTACACTTGTTTGAACGGGAAACCACCGTCTCATATTTTTCCTTCGAAGAGTTATTTTAACAAATGCGTTGTTTTTTTTTGCTATTTCTGCTTGTGCACCCCTGCAAACGCAGTATCGCCAAACAAATGATATCACTTGGACCCTTGTTTCATCAGGCTCCCCCCCAATTGGTTTAACATTGAGTCTATCAGGGTGGAGGCCACACATTGATAGCAATGGTGGTGGTGAAAAGGCGCTCGGAGCCGAGACAGGCAAGGGAATGGAAACATGAGTTCAAGTCAATCACATAGCGCCACCACGTGGCATGATCACATTTCACATCCCCCCGTACCCCAAAATTAAATGTAATTTCCTTTGCATAACCAACCGACAAAAAGGTTGAAGGTTAACCCACACTATACTGAACTGAATTACATTAAAGGTGGTGTTTTTTCGAAAAAGACAATTACCATCGTGTTTTAACTGCGTACATTTTTTTTGGTAACATGATTTATTGCTCATTACACGGTAGTTATAAACCTAATGGTTAATTACACGCGTGTCCAAGAGGTATAACATTGCACACTCAAAACGTGTCCCAACGTGGAAACTATGCGCGGCATGGTCTAACATTAGCGTCCATCGTGGGTTGGGGAGAACCCACATGGCTGCTCACTGGTTGTGGGATCGACGTGAACTTACAAAACCTCTCAGTCCATCCCCAAGCCCATTCTGATTTTTTTACACGCTTTTATTTAACTCAATGTCTGTTGTTGTTGTTGTCGTATCCTCAAATCTTGTAACTCAATTTTAACCCACTTCCCAATGTGGTATCGACTGCAAATGTCGTATACGTGTCTTACTGATGACAATACTATATTCTATCATGAATAAATATTTTAAAACAATCGTTTTACACACTTTCTATTAACTCACTCTGTCTGTTGTTGTCGTATCCTCAAATCTTGTAACTCAATTTTAACCCACTTCCCAATGAGGTATCGACTGCAAACTTGGTATACTTATGTCATACTGATGACAATACTACATTCTATCATTAAAAATAAAATATTTGTAAACGATCTTTTTTATAAGTTATGTTTCGGCTTGGGTCTAATTGTCCACGCTCAACTGACGTTGGCTGTAAATCACCACGGCCCCTCACGTTATTCAAGCTTCGGGGCCACTTCCTGGAGTCGTGGAGTTCTGCCATTACTAGTATGGTACATTTCATTAAAACGTGTTTTTAAAAAAAAGTATTTTTAAATATTACTTATTTTTGTCTTTTTTCTCGCACATCTCTGTGAAGACAACCGTGCGGTGCCGGTGGCTTATTGATAACACGTCGAGTGTCACCACTGACCGCCGACGGGTTCGGTTCGATCGCCTGGCGCGGCAGTTGAAATGGGGGTCAATTTCTTAACCCCTCCCGGCCCCCACCCCGCCTCTGTCCACTCAGCAGCATAAACAGCGAACACTGTGAAGTCAATCGGCAGGTCATATGCTATGCGGTGGGCTAAATTGTGGATGCCGTCTGGCCAGACGTGGGAAGAGTAGGCCAAATACCCGCAAAAGGGGCTCTCTGTGTAGGTCCTTCTCTGGCCCCATAATGGGCGAGAATAAGCAATTGTAGGGCTGCTGCATTTTTACCCCTTTACCAATTTCAGAATGTACAGCTTGTAATTATAAAGAAACTGCCGTGGGTGAGTCCTTCATATCACCCAACGATGCAACTAACACCTACGGCTCTTTTGTCAATCCACTTTTGGACGAGGGCCTTCCCCCACACCGTGTGTGGGCGATTTGACCATACTTCACCACTGCGGTAAGTGGGCGGGGAGCGTATTCGTTGCAGCACAGTGTAGGATGTTGACACATCGCCCTCTGCTTCACAGCACGTAGCAATCCACAGGCTACTGTGGTCAGTCACGGGGAGCGGTAGTGTAGTGGTTAGCGCGCTGCACTACGAACCCAGTGGACCCTAGTTGGATTCCCGCTCACGGCCACCGCCAGTAGCGAATATCGGAACCGGTCCATGGCCTCCTCAAGTTCGACTCGGCCTCAAACGAGTAACTCGTGCATTGTGTAAACATCGCCACTGGGGAGATAAAGGCGGCCGGGCATGGTGCTGGCCTTCGTGTGCCGTTCCGGCCTTCATAGGTGCTTGCAAACAGCACGTGCCCCAACAGTCTGCTATCTTGTATTTGTGGTCATACGTCCAAGCACCATCTCGTATCAAATCTGCGTCGTTTGTGACATCTAATTAACTAAAACTGCACTACTTCATACTTCGTGAGCTGTAGAGCTGTTTAACAAAAACACGTGATTGATGAGGATGATAGACGTGTGAAGAGTTGTAATTACATTCGGGTGAATATGGGGCAGGCGAAGCCTGAGCACTGCAGTATTATACGTGCACGAGGGCACCTTGGGAGTTTGTGTACAGTCGGTAATAATGCTGTGGTGACACAGCTGTCCTTGGTGTGCTGTCAAGAATCCGCCAACATCCTTCGAATGTTCAATACAAAAGTCTGTTTTTTTTTTCTCAATAAGTTACGGCATCATGAGCTAAGATAATAAAGGCCTCCCTCCAAGCTGCCGCCACCTCTCACGATCTCTGTGTTGCAGCAAACTAAATATGTATGTACATGAGATGTATATTTAGTCACTATGGCGTCTAGCGCCACCTATTGGAAGAAGAGTGGCACTGTGCATGTTAGCGTCTCTCTCTGGCACCAGAGTGTGTATGGCATAACATGCAGGCCCGAGGTGGAATGCTTCTGTTGACGCCAGAGAGAGGGCACTTCAGGACATGATAGTCTGGGTGAACCCGAGAGGGCACGTGACCAGGAGAGGGTAGCGAGGGGGGCCAAGGGTTGGCGAGAGGGACACGTGACATAAGGCCCAGAACCTTCTAGTAGGATATAGGGCGGGGCCAGGCCACGCTCAGGGGCATAAAAGGGAAGTCCTGAGCACCGATCCGGGCTGTCTTCTGGAATCAACCCGCTGTGCTAAGTCTCCTCGATCTTCAGTCTTCGGTCGTCACATTCAGCATCGTGGGTCAGGCAGTACGTTACTGACCTGACCCGGTTATGTAGTTGCCCGTTGTGGTTTAGTCGCTAGTGGAAGTTAGCTACCACCGATGTCGTTATCCCGTACGTTTATGTAGTTACCCTATCGGGGGTGTTGTAATAAACATGTTTTCTCCAAGTTCTAGTGTGTGTCTCCATGGATGCCACTACACATTTACCGTCTTATGGTTACTTCTATATTCATAATTCGGTTGGGGGTGCTCAGGTCCTGACGAAATACAAGTTGGCAGCTCTAAAACTTATTAACAGCAGCGATGATGGAAATTATGGTTTCATACGGTTAATGAATTGCAAGCACAATACTAGTGCATACCTGTCAAACCCTTATCAGTGCCTACCTTTTTACAGATCAAGTAAGACCATATTGGTAACCCCGTGCGCCTTATAAATATCAACGTTCATCCTACAAAGTCCCATCACAAGGGAGAAACACAAATAGACACATTATGTGTGCCCGTATTGAAACGGCTGTACGCCGTGTGGACCAGAAAACTCAATTTTCCTGTACAGTACAATAATACAAATTACATAATAAATTTTATCTAACATGACACTGGAACTGCAATGTGTTACAAAACGTAAAATGACCATTGTAATTGACCCCAGGTCTCTTATATATGTACCGGTATACTGTACTGCAACTGCATTGTTACGGCAAGCCACTATTGCTGTAACTACCGCACCTAAACAATTCCATAAACAACTCTTAAAAATCAACCAAAAGTTAAAAAGGGACCCTGGTTCAGTGGTCAGAGGCAGGAGGGTTAGCGGTCGGGTGTCAGTGAGCAGGTTAAAAACGAGTGGGCTTGTGAACAAGACCATATATTTGTCTGGTTTCTCCAGTTAAGTACAGGTAGTCCCCGACTTGCGATGGTCCGACATTCGATATTTCGATCTTACGATGGCGATATGACAAAATTGTAAAATATTCTACATTTCGCGCGGCAGGCAAACGCAGCAGCGTATGAGGTACGATGCTGTACGTTGGGATGCTGCCGGGATGTACTGAACGCATCTCCCGACTTGTGTGGTGATGCCTCTCACTCTCACCAGCGGTCGACTGAGTTAAGTTGTCTCGGTGTTCAATGCATGTTAAAAGTTTCTATAGCAGATAGGATTGTTTCCTGAAAAAACTTTACATGAAATTTCAGTTCATATAGGTAGGCTAAGAATTTACCTTGTTTTTTACTTTAAAATTTACCGTACAATGCAGTATTGTAATTAATAAATACATACAGTATATCGCTTATACAGTACGGTACTGTAAATTGCTCTGTTTTGTTAAATTATCACCATTCTTTAAGACTCCTGGGTAGGCTAGGCCATCTTCGACTTACGCTATTTTCGACTTACGATGGGGTCGTCGTAACGCATCTCGATCGTAAGTCGAGGACTACCTGTTTTTAGGTAACGTCCAGGTCATTGGCAGGGCGCGTAGTCGTGGCTGGCTGACGAGTAGGGGAAGCATGAGTGGTTAGCTGGCCGTGTTGGTAACGATTCAGGGTGAGAGGGTTAGCACAGTAGCCGAGTGGTTGGTTGTTTAGAGATAGGGATTGAGATTTATTGGTTGAGTTTGCTCTTCCCTGCTGCAACGTTGTCAACGTTTTAGTCCACGTCGTTTTAGCTGTGCACCGCACACGTGTAAAGGTCCCCCGTCGGTGTTATTTGTATCGGGCAGTAAAGCACAACGCGGACACGTGTAATGGTGATACAGTGCGTGCCACCGAACACCTTGGAGGCAATCCACTGCTGGATGAAAGCCTTCTCCTCACGCCTGTGCGGTTCGTGGGTGTTATTTGACCAAACTTCGCCACGCTGGCGAGTGTACAAAGCTGTGAGTCAGTGCGGAAACGTGGAAAGCAACAGATTGTGATGGGTTACCCTCATCGTTCATCTCCCGTGTAGAGAGCTCCCGAGCCAGGGATGGAAATTCCTCATTACTGTGGCGGGGACGATACCTTACAGAGGGGGATAACCAATGTAGACTTCCCCACAGTGTTTTTGCTGTGTGATTTTATCGACCTCGTATGGATTATGGGCGAGTAAACCCCCTCAAAAACAGGATTTGAACTCAGATTCCGCGCTGCTCGTTTCACCAGGCGCACAAACCTGCTTAACTTTCGCGATCAACACTCAAGACCGACACACAGCGTGGGAGCATTCATCCAGCAGTGGATTTGACACCGTCCTGCGAAACATGACTTTATGATTAGTATTATTATGGACGCATATAGTCACTCACTGAGGGCCGCGACCACCGCCGCCACCGCCATGGCCTCGGAGCCCGAACAATCCCCGGAAGAGGTCGTGCAGGCTCATGGGTCGCCGGCACGGGTCCCGGGGTCGAACTCGGTTGGAGATAGGCGGTGGTCTGGGGGCTGGGGGTGGTGTTAGACTGCGGGCTGCCGCCCTGTCGGCCGAGCGTTGTAATGAGCGCCTCTCAGCTCCTGTTGGGAGCGGCGGGGAAGAGAAGACGCGAGGCGGTGGCCACCCGAAACGGAGGAAAACTGACGAATGACGTCACGCAGCATGTTCTAGAAGGATGACGTCATCCACGCCGGGGTGCGGTGTATGCTTTCCAGATACGTGACGTCACGCGAGCAAGAAGATCTTCAAGCTGTGTGACGTCACGCGAGCTCGAAGGCCTTTCAGGCTGTGACGTTGAGCGAACGCGATGGTTTGCAAGATGTGACGTCACGTGGGCGACACCTTTGCGTAAAATTAGCTTCGACGATCTCGCGTCATAACACAGAGAGACTCGAGGAACGCCTTTTGCTATCGTGTGCGCTGTGACGCATTTACGCAGTATCTTGCAAAAAACGTTGTGACGTCTCCCCCCCCTTCTCCCCAACCCCGGCGTTGCCCATCCGCGTGCGTCACGACTCCATAGAAACGTCGCGCCTCTCGATGAACTCGTGCGCGATGACGTCACACACACCGGGTGCGGTTGACGTCATCGCTTGTGTTCGCGCGCGGTGACGTCATCTACGCCGGGTGCGGACGACGTCACCGCGTCGCTTGTGTTCGCGCGCGATGACGTCATACACGCCCGGGTGCGGTCGACGTCACCGCGTCGCTTGTGTTCGCGCGCGGTGACGTCTTCCACGCCGGGATGCGGATGACGTCCCCGCGTCGCTTGTGTTCGCGCGCGGTGACGTCATCCACGCCCGGGTGCGGTCGACGTCACCGCGTCGCTTGTGTTCGCGCGCGGTGACGTCATCCACGCCGGGGTGCGGACGACGTCACCGCGTCGCTTGTGTTCGCGCGCGGTGACGTCATCGCGCAAGGGACCCCCCCCACCACCACCACCACCCCTACGACTGTCACACCGCAAGCGTCGACCGGCAAAGATGAGCGCCGCGGCTGTCCCCTCTCTCTTCGCCGACTACAGGGGCATGGCGGACTCGGTGGCCGACAAGCTGGTGGGCTACAGCAAGGACGACGGCGGCTGGCGAGTCGCCAAGTCGAACGTGAGTTTTGCGCCGCGTTGGTTCCCTTGTGACCTGGGGCTGCGTAACCTCCGCCGTATGTTGGACTTCGTTCGCATCGTACCTGGCCAAGCGTGCTGATCGGATGATTAGTTGATGGGGGTCGAGAGGATGAGGATGAGGAGGAGGAGGTCAGCGTGTATGCTTAGGTCTGGTGTCAGTGTCCAGGGTCTAAGGTTACAAAGGCTCTATTAGGTGGGATCTGTCAAAGTGCCAGCTGTCAAGTTGAGGTGGGAGGGTTTGAGTTGTCACGGTTCTCTCGATGCAAGGTGCAGGGATGGAGGGGGTTTGGTGTGGGGTTAAGGTCTAGTTATCAAGTTGACAGCTGATCCAGGGTTTATACTAGTAGTGTCCACGGTTTACTACTGTGTGCTGGGTCAGGAGCAGCAAACCATGGGTCATCATCATCATCTCAGATGCCCTGCAGCGCCACAATGCATCCTCAAGATTTGGCAATGCCAACACCAGAAGCGGTGGCATATGCAGAATATTGGTAAAATTCTAGAGAGGTTTGACAGGAGTCACGAATAATAATAATGAGAAACACACCCGGTGGGCTGAAGAAATAACTAATTGGCGTTTTGTTAACGTGACACATTTCTTACTGATTGGCCGTGTCACGTGGTGGAGGGTTGCGACACATTTATAATTGCGCGATCGAACCCAAAAGCCTTTATTATTATGAAGAAGAAGAAGAAGCCTTCCAGCTGTTAATTCCCTCCAGGTCTAGGGGTTGGACACGATGTAAGGTTGAGATGTCCCGTATTTCAGGGTGCAGGGATCACAGGGTTAGACGTGAGGTCAAGGGTTCACTTGCCAGCTTCCTTAGTAGCCGAGCTCCCGAGGTATGTGGATGTGGTCGAGGGGAGTTTAAATCGTTGGCGAGACGTGATGACTAACAACGGCCTTGGCCATGATGACACCTCGATCAACAATCCCGCATTCAGCCGGGCATCCAGGATCCTGGGTGTCATATCGGAGGGCCGAACAGGACATGGTTTTGTTGTGCAACCACACATTAACAACAACAACCACCACACATTAACACACGCACACACACACACACACGTTGCGTTAACCATTAAGAAGGCTTTCGGAACACGACATGCCTGACGACCTCGCATAGGACGCTAGAACGAAGCACGCACAGCGACTAAAAGTGCCGACACAACAGTTGTTGTTGTTGTTTATCCCTTGGAAAATGTTGCGTCTGTGGGCAGTATATAGGTACATTACCCCGTAGGTTACGACACGATGAGTGGGGGGGTAAGTTATAGGTTCACCATTGACTCAGGGTTAGGTTCAAGGTCGGTTGTGGTTCCAGTTGTTGTTGTGCTCGTTGTAAGGGGTATATTTTGGAGTCGAGAGTTAAATGATCAGGTCGCAGATTCGTGCCGCCGGTTACATCATTGGTCGCATGGTTCGTGGTTTATATGGTCCATTGTTCAGTGCACACGTGGTGCAGCGCCGCAGATGGCAAGGTCACCAGAACTGAAGATCCCTTCTCGCCTCGGTTTCCGTGTTTTGAACCCACGCCACAATAAGTATAACCCGTAAAAACAAAGTTTTTCACTATAAATCCTTTATATGCGTGGCGGCTAGAGTCCTCTCGTCCTCTGGCTTGAGATGGCTGCCACCTATGGGTCAGATGATTGTCTGCCAGTATTAAGCAATTGGTAATTAAATATTGAATTTGTTTTCTCTAAACAGTGTAAAATTATGGGAAAAAAATTTCACGAACATTAATTGTCTCGCACAACGAGTCTGTGTGCAAAATGTCAGCTCGATTGGATCACGGGAAGTAGGTTAAAAAACGACCGAAAGATTTGCACGGTCGTAAGCAAGCAAGCACACAAGCAAGCGAACTTAATATAAAGGATTTAAAAATGGAACTGCGCCGAGTCTCCAACCCGTGTGAATTGTCTCCACCCCACGACGCTCCAGTGTTTTTCGCCGAAGACGTTGTCATGGCAGTGAGTTTGCAGAGATGAATTGGCTTCTGTAGATGGCGCTGTCAGAGCGACGACTCGCATCGATGGTGCCTCTGGAGACGGTGACACCGACTCAATTTGAAGACCTCCCCCCAAATGCTCTGCCACCTCTGATCATCGCTCCATCTCCCCGCTGGGGGTGCCCGCATGGACGCGTTCCATTTTATAGTTGGCATGAAATGTCTCTTCTCACAATAGGGATTTGAGAATGACAAGATGCCAGTTGCTTAGTCATGCAATTTGTAGGTTAGATTGTAAAAAAAAGTGAAAATGTGAGATTACATTATTAATGAAAGTAAATATGTTTCGGCTTTAACAATTGTTTTGTTTTGTCACCACGAGGAAATACGGACAGGGATCACACTGGGACAATGTAAGGACAATCATTTAAATAGCATACCGAATCAATGCAATGCCAAATTAACATGGTCACTTTTGCACGGCGTATGTTGTGCATTTGAAAAATGCCTTTATTTATAGGCTTTGTGCAGCGTGGTGAGATCAAAACTCCTCTGCCCGCATTGCGTGGGGTAGAGGTGGCCCTCATCCAATCGTACCTTGACTACATCAATGTAAATGTGTCCAGCAGTCACACACGTGTGCTGCCACTTATTTACGTGTAGGCGGCATTGTGTGTACGGTACACACGTGCGCGTGGGTGTATCAACAGGAAATCCACGTAAGTTCAAGGGCAGGAACTCATGACCGGCGTTGATATTTCCCTTAAAATTTTAGAGGCTTCATATACCTTTTTTACGCCTACAGCCAGTGCTCTATGCCTCCGCCCTGGCACGTGGTGTCGTCACATGAGGCCACTCTGCCAGCCGCCAATGAGGGACTGCACGTGGTGTGAGGCCGGTGTTGCGTAATGAATGAGCTATTCATAGCGCCTCCTTGAGCTTAACTTGTTCAGGCCGGGCTGCAGTCACTTTTACGTGGGGCGGTGGCGCTTGGTAAGTGAAGAGCCCCTTAGGCTTTCAGAGTTGGACGTTGCTTTGCGTTTCTCTGGCTCGTGGGATGATCACGGCAATGGCAGTACAGTCACAGCAATGGATTGCTGGATCAGTCTGTGCAGAGCTTTCAGTGTGTGTGTGCTACCTACACCCTGTTGATTGTCGCTGGTGACTGGGGTTTCCTCCCACATGATAAACACACATGAATGGAATTGGCTAATTATCCCATCAGTGTAGGACCCACGTGAAAAAATTTTAATTGAGACTGATGACTCACTAGTGTATTCAATAATTAAACTGTCAAAATGGAAAACCATACTTGTGTTGATAGATTAACAATTTAATAGATCTCATGGAATTTACTGTAAAATATGGCAAACACTGTCGTCTACGGGGATTGCCAAGGCTCAATTATGCAACAGCCTTAGTCTCAAGGGCACTTCGAAAACAAAGATCACACACAGCACTGTACGTTAATCTAAATGGCAGTTTAGTTTTCAGCTCCATCTTCTTTCATAAACATAATGACGACGCGTAACAATTACACAGCATGCAAAGAACAACCATGACGCCTCATTAAGAATGATATATAGCTTGGAAATCGTTGTAATTATGGTGCTAATTAGCAATATGTAAATATGCCTAATTGACGTTTGGAATAAAACTGCCTGGTTAGAATGTTTCCACCCAGCAGACTTTTAGGCATTCATATATTACTGCTTGTTCTTTTTTGTATTTACAGAAACTTGTTACCATATCGTGGAGAGCATCTACAGAATTTCCTGGCTACCTGTAAGAAGAAAAGCTACAACATGCGTGCACAAACTACACATCCTAAATTAAATCTTGACTTAAAGGTTTTGTGACTGCAGGAATTCATATTCTTTGGGTCTTTCGGTAAAGCCACGGAGATAGAAAATTAATAAAAGATAATAAATAAAAATAATAACAATATCACTCTATTATTATTACGTGATATTGTTATTATTTTTATTATTTTTTGTATCTACGTGGCTTTGCCGAAAGACCCAAAGAATATATCCTAAATTCACTTTTAGTATTTGATTTCATGTTTTAAAACATACCCTTTTGGATTCATATAGCCAGTCTAGATGCAACCTCGTCTTGAGACACTGCAAAACAGTGGGACAGGGGCATCATGGGGGAAATGAGTGATTGTTGTGTTAACAAGAGAAAGAAGCAGTCGGTCATCGGCAGGGAAGAGAAAGTCATGAGCCTGGATTTGAAGAGGGGACAGCGAGTCAAAAGATGGGATGGCCGGTGGGAGAGAATTCCAGACCACAGGGACAGGCAGAGGAGAAAGAGACCTTCCATTGAGTGAGGGTGCACGGTGGGCGTTGATAGGGTACTGTATTTTAATTTTAACAAGCATCACATTTGTATGGATGTTGGACTTCTTTCACACCGTACGTAGCCAAACCATGCTAATCGGAGGTGTGGTGGAAGGACAAACTTAACACCAAAAGCAGTACTAAAGAAATGAGTTCAATCTAGTTTCAAAATGTCATGAATACACTATACTCCCCGAAATTATATACAGATGTAGTAGAAACACCAAATATCTATGTACGTATGTTGCTAATTGTAAGTGCTATGCGTGCCTCTCACATGATGAAATGAAAAGCCAGGGCTTCAAAATAATCGCGGAAACTTGTGCTCGGCACGCTCTGGCGCTAGGTACAAAGGCGAGGGTCTACTGGAGATGGCCCCCAATGCGCTGTGGGAGTTCGTGAAACCCACGCCGGACGGCCTCCGTGTCAAGTGGGATCGCAACGTGCGCGCCTTCCAGATCCTGCAGTCGCTGGACGAGGTACGCTCGCACGACGGCCAACGGCGGAGAAGATCAACAGCGGCTGGGCGAGCCCCTTTGTCAATCTGCTTTTGGGTGGAGCTCTCTCCTGGCTGTGTCGATCGTGGGGGTTGTTTTGCAAGGTATAATTTCAGCCCTGTCTGTTCAGCAGATTGAAAATCACAAAATATTTTCTGCATCAGGCACACCACATCCAGTATTCCTCTCGGCATGGCTGTGACTATTACTAGTCAAGGTGCCTACTCCAGTCAAAACCAGCGACCTGGAAATTGATACACCGCAGAGTTCCGCCACTGCACACTTTGATCACTTACTGGCAGTAGTTCAGATATTCACCATGAGGCTACTCCTGAAGCCATCCACCGGCTCGCTCACCAGCCGCGACATGGACGTGTAAACGTTGCTGACGAACTCCGTGCCAAACGAACGAAGAAGAACGAGAACTGATTATTTGGTTTCTCAGGAGCTGTCCGTGTGTCGCACCATCACCTCGTCTGCTGCCATGGGCGTGATCTCCGCGCGTGACTTTGTGGACGTGGTGCTCGTCAAACGGTACGACGACGGCTCCATCGCCTCCAACGGTGAGACGCGTGTGCGACTCACTCACGAGTGCATGCTGGACTCCACTAACACGCTGGGGAGGCGAGATTGGGACACTTGTCGAAACTGGTGCGGAGTCTGCTTGTCTGGAATTAACGCTGTTGAAATTGCGCACTCCCAGCATACCGTGCGGCTGATATGTCGTGTAGGACATTATTTTATATTTTTACGTGGAGATACCTGTGCAGGTATATGAAGTAAGACGTATTGTATGCTTATTTGTTGTTCAAACATTGTAGGTCTTATATGCAACCACTTGGGGGCGCAAGTGTCACAGTTTATAAGCGCGCTTGCTTTCGCGTTTCATGGAATCCCAAAATCCCTGGGAACACGACTTGAAACTCAGTTTCTGGGGACAAAGAGACTGGAACTTCTGAATCCTCATTGATGACAACACTTCGTAAAAATATTTTGGTGACATGTAAATGTACATTTCTTCATTTGTGAAACACATCACTTGTATTATTACAATTAATTCAGCCTCACAATGATAATTATAAAATACTGAAATGAAATGGGTGAGTAGGGACACACATTTTTTATCGCTGCGTGTAACGAAACAAATAAGTATCAAGACAAGACATTTTAGATGGACGCTTCAGATGCAACAGCTGTGGCTACTCTTCACTGCAACCCTTTGTGGTTGCAATTACAATTTACAATTACTCATCCCCAGTCAGCTTTGGATGTGCCCGTAAAGTTACAATCATTTATTGCATCTCATTCTACCAGGACTGCATTTCAAGATACACAGTATAGCTCCACATTTACCGTATATTCATGTGAAATGTGAAGGGAGCGATATTTTAATGGAGCCGATCACCGCACGCGTCTTTGTGTCTGTGCAGCGACGCATGTGGTCCACGAATCGTGCCCACCCCAGTCGGGCTACGTCCGTGGATTCAACCACCCCTGCGGCTGCATGTGCCTACCCGTGCCCGGGTAACGCAGCACGGGCACTAGCGTGTGCGCTCACTCACACACATCACGCACACTTCCAGATTTGAAGCTTTCGTGACTGCAAGGATTCATACTCTTAGGTTTTTTCAGGTAAAGTCACGTAGGTGAAAATAAATACGAACAATAAATAATAAAATGATAGAAATAATAATAGAAATAGAATAATAAATCACGACGTTTCGGGCGCAACACAAGCGTCCGTCTTCAGGTGGGACAACCACAGCAAGAAACAATTGCTGAAGTGGGCAAAAGAGCTGCTGTAACAAGGGGCTATATAGGTAAGAGACGGGGGAGGAGCCAGGGAGGATAGATAGAGGAGGGGGGTGGGAAGTGGGCGGGGCTGGGAGTGGGAGGAGGAAGACACTGGAGATGCGCATATGAAGGGGGCTTTTGGCTGAGTTTAGGGGGCTTTTGGCTGAGTTTAGGGGGGTTTTGGCTGAGTTTAGGGGGGTTTTGGCTGAGTTTAGGGGGCTTTTGGCTGAGTTTAGGGGGGTTTTGGCTGAGTTTAGGGGGGTTTTGGCTGAGTTTAGGGGGCTTTTGGAAAAGTTTAGGGGGGTTTTTGGCTGCTGCCAAGTGCAACACTCTGCATGTGAGTGATTACACACACTCACTCCATACAAACGCACACTCGCTCCACACATGCGCACTCACACCACTGCCATATGAAACACACACAATGACTCCACACATTTCACACTCACTCCTCACTCGAGTGTATACATCCACACTCACTCCTCGGTTTCTATTCATCCTTTCAGCCTTCTATTTTAAATTTCACCATATCCTTGATATAAATGAAGCTGCTTTCTTCTTGAACTACCTCCATCACATCTGTCATTTTATCTGTATCAGGCTGATCGTTTCCATGTGTGGCAACTCCTTTATCACTTTCCAAGGACTCGCCAATTACACTCAGCACTGCTGTTGTTGCCTCTGATTGCTGTGACCCCTTTTTTAGGAGGCCCTTTTAAATACGTTTCATCCTAGCTTCTAATTTGATACAGAGTCTGAACCGCTTATATTACCCACCATTTCACAGGAAAGTTTACGTGTGCGACTAGCTCTGGTCCAAGCCCTATCAAAGACAATAACCAACCGAGTTCATCGGTTAAAGCTTCATCATCTTATTGAGAGCAGCACGTAGTGGAGATGCAAGAAGCGAATTACCTGCGATCGCCGCTTGTCCCTAACCTAACGCCGCCGACTTCCCATGTCGCTTTCCCGCCCTGCTCACCGCAGGGAGCCCAACAAGACGAAGATGGTCACCTTCTTCCAGACGGACCTGGGTGGCTACCTGCCCAGGTCACTCGTCGACTCGTTCTTCCCATCCACGATGGCCGAGTTCTACAGCAATCTCAGCAAGGCGCTGACGACGCTCAAGCCATGACGACCGCCGCTGTAATCCTCATCCGTGCCACCCACCCGCTCGTTGGTCTCAACTCCCATCAGCCACACTTTTCACCCTTTTTTGGCCCTCCACCGAATGTAATAATGTCTTCGCGTGGCCTCAAATGCACGGTTGCATATTTTTATTGCAATACCATGGAGATCTGTGTGCTGTCCGTGTCATTATTTGTGACATTTTTGATTTGTCGCTCTTTTAATGAGAAGAAGATTGCTATTAATTGTCAAGGGCATTAAGGCGGTGGCAAGACGCGAGTGTGAGTTAGGGGATGGCAGTGCTGTCCGTTCCGTACTTTACGCAATGAATGTGCTGTGTGTGATCAATTAGGTACCGGTGGAAACACCGGTGTTTACATTTAACCTGAAGTCACTTGAATAATTCGAACCTGGTGCAAGGTATATAACGGAGCAGAGCGCACTGCCACTGGTGGCTTAGGTTTTAATTATGCATGAATTGTGCCGATGTTCTTCAACATTCACTCACCGCCCCGACACAGCATGGCTACATTGAGAAGTGAACCCAGGTTCAACCAGAAACCGATGATGGCTGCTGTGGCCACTGCAAGGTGTGGCAACTGCAGGTCTACTGAGTACAGGGTTAGGCATTGTTTTCCCCACTGTACAACCGAGCGATCCTGGTCTGGTTTTGCTAAGTCAGCCCGGGGCAACTCAGGAGGGTGCCAGGTTTTTTCTGTCACAACTGAGCCGTGCTGGGGGCATCACAAGCAATGCATGCGCCACGTCAGACTCGCACGTTAAAGTGTAGTGACCGAAGCAATATAGGGTAAGAACTATTAACCCCACCTTATCTGGCCCCACCATGGGCCTGAGCCAGATTTCAGATGCCACGTGAGGCCAAAGTTTTAAGGTTTGGTTCTGGCTTGGCAAATTTCCAGTGGGAAAAAAACCTCTCGTATTGCGAGGGCCCCACACTGGCGTGGCTCGGATGTGCCAGTGGAAGAGGTTGTGTATGAATGTGGCAATGCGATGTTACTTTTGTCAAACTTGGGCAATGATGTATGTGTTTGCACTGGGCCCGTGTCTATTTTTCCTTGCGCATGCATACACGGTGCCCCAATAAGTGAGCACTTTGTCTCGATGTATATTTTTGTTGTGGTCTTTTAAACATTCCTGGAGATTTCTGCTGCTCGTTATTATCATTGTGAATACATATTAAATGTGTATACTATAAATTGAAAAAATGTAAACAGAAAGTTTATTTAAAAAATGACAATGCATTTTTGCATTGTTAGGAGGGTGGGGGTGTTAGCAAAACTGATACGATTGTGCCGTTCGTTTTAACGTCAGGTCGCTGTGGTCATGTGACCGAGAAGTGATTATCAGCCGCCTGCAGCGATAACCGTAAAGAATGTGTTTTAATGCATTGAAACTTCTTGTGAATTTTGGAATGTTAAATGTTTGTCACATTGATGGGCATCTGAAGTTTTATTTATTTTTTAAAGTCCACGGGTTAAACGGTGGGATGGGGATGTAGATGCATCCATTTTTACGCACGTATCGCAGGAACGCGCGATGGTGATACTTGCAGGCAACCCGTCATCCAGCAGTGGACACATCACGGCCCGATGATGAACGTTACTGGGTTTCATGCGACTTCCTCCAGCCGCTGTGAAAAGAACAATAATCCGTGCTGGCTTTGAATCGCGAATGGCGACTCGTCGATTCATTGGATGGCGAAAAAGGGCCAAACTGTAAAAACACTCCAAGGGCGATGTCGGAAACAGGGCGCTTATTGAACGCGTGGATTGCTTTCACCACCCTAGAGCCAATCCGCATTAAATGATCAAACAGTGCCTTGGCTGATCACAAGAGGTAACAAAAACAAACTACAAGGCAAAACGTCCCCACCCAGCCACCCGCTCTGACCCCTGAATTCTGCCGTGGTAGTTTATACGGCAGATTCTCTTAAAAACTTGCTTGCCAAGTCACACACTGCCTGGTTTAAATTCCGCCCCCATCCCCTCCCCCCCACCCAGAAAAAAAAAGTTTTCACCTTCCCTAGCATCACTTTAAAACACACAAAAAACTGTACGTGGAAAACACATGTACAGCCAAGCAATATAAAATCTTTATTTTTTTATTATTTTTTTGGTAACCAAAACTTTTGGTTTTATTCTTTTACATCCGGCAGTTTGCGTTTGTGTTTCTTTGTAATTAAAATATAACGTTAACACAATGACACCTCCATATATACAATTGAGTGCACGTTTCACACCAGCTTAATGGTAGTTTGGTTCAGAGTGGAAATATTTTCCTAAGCTGGAGCGACAACATTCCGCGTACATTCGGTCAAGGATTGAATGGTGACGAGGAGAAAGGTCACACGATATTGTGCAATTAAACACTTTTTTTAAGGCAGCAGACACAATGGCTTTTTAAATGGAGAATACTTGGCTGTTTGTTGAGCAGAATAAACATCTGTTAAACAATAAAAACAGCCTCAAGGTTTGTTGTCATTGTGTAAAGTATGAAAACATCACACGGCTATAACACCAGGCCCCATACTGTTAGGTGTCACACATCACCTTGGGTAAAACGCAGCACGGCAGTGAGGAGGCTGTTTGTGCATCTCTTGGCTTGAAATGGGAGGACGTCCATCGAGATGGAGCGATACAATCGGCTCATGCGAGGTGTCTATTGCCTTGAAATCTAGGACATCTACGAAGGAGGTTGGAGCAATTAAATCGGTTCGTGTGCAGGTGCCAGGTTGATCATTATACTGCAGGATCGTGGGAGACAGTGGTAGCATAGGGGAGGCCTTCATCCAGCAGTGGATCGACCACGGCCGACAAGGTGACTAGTTGCAGAAAGCACCATAGAGGATTGTTTTTCTTTCCTCCCATGAGCTAATCCTTCTCTCGATCACAAGCCTAGGTTACAATACACACTTTTTAAGCCAACGGCCACTGCCGTTTCATCCGCTGTGTTGAATCAAATATATTAAATAAAAACAATTCCCGCTATTTTTCGATTTAAAGCTTTCGTGACTGCAGGGATTCATCTTCTTGGTTCTTTCGGTAAAGTCACGACTTTACCGAAAGAACCAAGAAGATGAATTCCCGCTATTATTTCACCATTTTTTTTACCATCGGTCCGCATCCGAGACGCTAGCAGCCTAAAGGTGGAAGAAAAAAAAATGACAAATGCCCTCCACAAAGTCCAACGCTTGAAACCGCGCTTGCCACAAGGTCAAGACATCGACAGCTCTCAAGTCTCAACCCAAAACCAACACGACGCCGCATAGTCCAGGGAGAGTGAGCGGCTCAATTCAGTTCCTGAAAAAGTTCCCGGAAACACAGGGAACGAAACATCGGACACCGTGCTGGACAGCACCCGCCGTACAAACCAGAAAACATGGGAGAGCTAAAACCAGGGCTTAATTTCTCATTGAATATTTGCTGGACATGGCCCAATCCCCGCTCCCCTGCCCCCCACTTCCCCTTTGGTTGTGGGGGGGGGGAGATATTTTCTGGCGTTCAGCCACAGACAGCTCCAGTTGAAATTAAGCCCTGGTTAAAATTATAAAACCAAAGCCACCCAACGTCACGCAAATGGGGCGCAGTGCATTGCCGCCACCCATGTGGCATTGACGCATTTCCCTTGTTGAGCCAACCATCGGTGCCAGTAATTGCAGGGTTGGAGGGTTCAATTTCACGCCACTCTTATTAACTCTCCCGACTCGTGCTGCCCCCTGTTTAAGAACCATTCAATCTTCGTAGGTATGTGTGTGTGCGTAGACGCGGGCTTTGCGATGTTGTGCGCAGTAACTTAAAGATAGTATTTTATACGTAAACAGTAATATACGAATCGCCGCAAAAAAAAACGAAAATAAGAATCCTGAACCCTGAGTTAGACTGATAAAAAAAGAATGTTTCCGTCAAATCGTTAAAGTTTTTTTTATTTAAAGCATGACTCGCTGTTTTTATTGAGCGCCCGTCCAACTCGTAGGATAGTGAACACGTGCGTTCATGCGTTCATTGTGCGCGACACGGCGGCGGGGGGAGAAGCAGCAACACAGTTCCAATGCATTCCGATTTCCTTGTGATGCTGCGTTGGCAATTGTGCACAAGAGCACAAACAACAACAAAAAACTTGAACGCATTCGTCGAAGAACGGCATTTGCCTGAAATGTCGCCCATAATATATTATTTTCCGTTCACAGGCAGCGTTATTGACGAATGAGTTGAGCTCTTGTTGTTTGTCCCCGGGGGATTACGAGTGACTTCATTTGCCAAGAGGCCGCGTGCAGCGTGGCGAGACCTTTCGACTTTACGGTGACTACGTGCAGCGGAGAAGGACTCAAACTCTGGTGGACGTTACGTAAAAGGTGCAACGATTCCGGCGACGAATGTGAAATCCTTTAGGCTCGCGGCACACGCATCGAATCACGCATGTGCAAGAATCGCGCATTTTTTTTTCTTACAATCCGTACACCGTTGTATGCAATGCGTTTCCTGCGAGCCTCTGGTCGGTATGGGCACTGGTGCGAGCAATGAAATGGGGGGCAGGGGGAAATGTGCGATCGGTGGGGAGCGGTTCAGTTACACCGCCTGCACACTCGACGGTACACTCGATTGTACGCATGTCCGTCGTTAGATCCACATTATTGGCGGTGCTTTAGCACCAAGAAGCAGAGGTGTGGACTCGAGTCATGTGACTTGGACTCGAGTCAGACTCGAGTCATGAATTTGATGACTTGAGACTCGACTTGGACTTGCATAACAATGACTTTGTCCCACCTCTGCCAAGAAGTGCTGACGAGGAGGGGAAGGGCAGCTGTTTCAGCTACTTAAAAGCACGTTAAAATAATTTACAACCCTCTATCGATATACTGCTGGATGAAAATGTGGACTAACAAACATCCGTCCCTTCCGTACGGGAGAGAGCGTTGGCCCCCTCGCGCACGCGGGTTTTTCTCCGGTTTCCTCCCACGTGTAAAAAACTCATCAACTGGCTCAAGACGTCTGAATATATTAGAGGAGCGCAGAGCTTGGGCAATTGTTGGCGCAGGCTTACCACCTGGCTGCTGCCTCCTCACCTGTCTGTGGTTCCTGCTCGCGCCTCTGAGTCCTTTCCCTCTCTCTCACTTCTAGAGTGAGCGAATGCTGTGCGGCGCGTCACGAGTTAAAATCGGCCTTCTTATCGTATTATTATTACAATAAGACATTTTCCATTTCTCAAGAGGCGCTCCTCGCGCTGCCACCGCCGCCGTCGTCATCGCCGCCCTCGCCGGCCCGGCGTAGCGTGACGGCCGTCGCGCCCTCGGGCAGGGCCTTGATGAGGTTCCACGCGTCGAAACGCGAGAGGCCGCGGACGTCGTGGTCCCCCACGGAGAGGAGGACGTCGCCGGCGTGGACGCCGCTCGCGTCGCCCGCTTGAGACGGCGACGCGGCAGGGCGGGCGGGCGGTGGCGGCGGAGAAACACGGCGGGGGAAACACGACATCGGCATGAGCTGGGACCAGCGGCGTGCGTGCACGTTCGCGGTGGACTGGATAGCAAATGTTGAGCGACTTATTCTTTGGTTCTTTCGGTAAAGAATAATTCCTGCAGTCACGAAAGCTCCAAAGTTAAGTTCAGCGACTTGCTTGTCTTTGTGTATGCAAGAGTGCGAGTGCGTGAGTACGTTTAAGAGTGCATTTGGGTGTGTGTGTGTGTGGCTGTGATTGTGAACGTGCGTAATTGGGTGTGTGCATTCATTCGCACGTGAATTAGTGCATCGGGTGTGTGTGTGCCATATATTCAAGCGTGTGTGTGTGCGCACATGTGGGCCTGCATCAAATTCAGGTGTGTGCACGTTCATGAGCGTACGCGAGTGAGCGAGGGATTCCTCACCGGCGAACACCCGTCTCACGGTGAGTTCCCGGTCCCCGTGGATGGATCCGCGGCCGCCCTCGAGGCTGAAGCCTAGGCCCGCGCCTGTCTTCACGAGCTCCATGGTCACCGTCTCCCCTGGGAACCGGATTCCGATGAGACGCAAAAAAACAACACAAATCGGAGCAATCGGTGATGCGATCGAATCGAGCACGTGCCAGTCAGCGTAGTGATTAGGGGAGCACTGAATAAAGGATAGAAAGGAAAAACAGCAAAAACTAACAGCTCTTATCTCTCACACATCGGCTGTTGCGACGAAATATTATGATTCACGTGTCGTGCACCCTCCTCCACCTGAGTGTGTACGACGCACATTGGCATTTTACTTCGATTATGAATCAGCTCTTGTCTTGTAGCTGCAGACCGAGGCCGAGTGTCACGGGCTGCGTGGCTATTTTCAGGCTTTGCTTAGTGAAAAAAAAAGTCAAATCACGGTCAAGATATTTGTTTTTTTTCCCAGGGTTGTGAGCAGAGCGGGCGGCTCAAAACTCGTGTTGCAATCCGCCGGCTGTCTCCGGTTTGTGGTTTTTCTGATGGCCTCCGTCTCGCCCCTGTCAGTTTTAAATTGCATCAGCGCACGCTGCAAGAGCCTGTCGTGACTCGTGCCGGCTAAATCCTACGAGTCCATTGTGAAACTTTGTTTTCATTCCCGTCGCGTACGCGCTTCTGTTCGCATGAATGAGTCTCGCTTGTACTGAGATTTGGGGAAAACCTTTACGAGTAAAAAAAGAAAATCCGCAGTCAAGCTATCTGCCAAGCACCCGAGTGACATCACCACACTGACGTTTTTAAACATCTGGCAGCAGCTTCACAGTGATGTCAGCGCAGTGCCATTAACGATGCTCTTGGCCATTGCTTTCAAGTCTTTTGTTGCTCATGAATGCAACTGGACACCCGCGTGGAACAGCACGGGACACAGCGACAATGTGTGTTCCTACACGATAAGAGCCAAAAGCGTTTCGGTTTGAAAACGAGTCGCGTTGCAGGCACGCACCATCGCCACCATCCCGGCCCTTTTCCTTGCCATCGTCTCCGGCATCGCCGGCGTTGGCCTCGCCAGCCACGGACACCACCGGCGTCACCACCACCGCCGCCGTTGCCGCGCTATGAGCGCTGCCCACAGCTCCGTCGCCCCGCGTGTCTGCGTGCCGTCCCACGGCCACCGCACCGCCACCAGCGCCACCGCCACTCTTCTGTACGACCACGACGACCTGGCGCGGCACACGAGCCTGGCGCACGGCGTAGAGTGCCTCGTCGTGGCTGGCGCCCTTGAGGGAGCGGCCGTTGATGGAGAGGAGGCGGTCGCCCAGGTGGATCGTTCCCTCCTGGGCCGCCACGCCGCGCGAGAAGACGCGGTGAATCTGCGAGCGCGCGAGAGAGCGAAGGATGGCAATTCGATTTTTTTTTGTTAAGTAGCAAAAATAACGAAATGGAATGAACGTGAATTTTTTAAATATTTTTTATTTGTAGGGTTTAAAAGAACTGCTTTGAAGTTCAAGTGCAGCTTCAAAGGCATCGATATTAAATGAGAGGCACGCTATGAAGATGAGATGTGTGCTGTGAAGAAGGGATATTGCTCACAACGTTGCCTATTATGTAATATGAATTTAAAGGCAGTGTTATTGACGAATGTGTTGAGTGTTTTGTGTGTATGCACACGCAAATAAAATGTATTTATTACTACAATAGCAGATGTGAATTCCTAAAAGAATATTGAAAAAGAGAAAAGGTATTTCCTTAAAAAAATAATACCTTAAATGTTACCCTATTATATTACTTAGGGTGCAGGAATTCCTTTGACACAGCTGAATACAAGAACGGTGGCCAAATCACCCGTAATGCACCAGATTCTTGGCAGATCCCAGAGGCCAAGCCGGGTTTAAAATTCTTGGATGGCCGACCAATAGAGGTTAGCGTATATTATCGCAATGTGCATCCACGTCCGCGCCTCCCGCCATCGCCGACCCACAATGACCGGCATGGTGAAGTATGGTCAAACAACCACTGATTGGTGACACCCTCGTCCAGGTTGACAAAAGGGGGTTGTGCATGTGCCAATCGTTATGTTACCGTGACGACCGCGTTCTCCTGGTCGCGGCCTCCGGCGACGCTGAAGCCGAGGCCCACGCCCTCGTCCTTGTGTAGCACGACCACGCGCACGTCCTCCAGGCCCTGCACGCCGGCGCCGCGCCGATGGATGGGGGGGTCAAAAGGTCTTTGGCCTCGGAAGCGACACTCAAATGTTTGCACGTACGCATGTTGAACTTCTGTCGCACCGTACGTAGCCAAACGTGCTAATCGGAGGTGCCGGGGAAGGATAACAAACTAAACGCAATAAACTGTTTTAAAAAAATGACTTTTCAATCTAGATTTTAGATTTTAAAGTGCATAGCACCGGTGGCTTCCTACTATCGGAAGGAAGAGCATTCCAGACGGCCTCCTGAACCACAGCGGGATGGCCCAGCGGTGCCAGCGGAAATGAAGTGATGATGATTGTTAAGGAAATTAAATCAGGCAGGGTGCGTTGCTAGAAGGGATGCAGGCCTCGGGGGGGTCGAGACGAATGGGGGAGCAGCAGCGGGGTGGGCACCGACCTCGTCCCCGAGCGAGCGCGACTCCTCCACGAGTCGCTCGATCTCGGCTGACGGAAGCAGCGACGCGACGGAAGCCACGGAGAGCGTGGAGCTGCTCGACAGCGAGCGCTCGCGCCCGCCCTCGTCCCGCAGCGCCGACGATGCCGACTCGTTCAGCTCCGCCAGGCTTGGGGGCCAGGGTGGGGGGGGGGGGGGCACCACACGTGCGCACATCTGGCTCAGTTCTGCCGTCACACTCACGACGCTTCCACGCCGCTTTGGGCCCCGCTCGCCTAAAACTCGGTGCTCCCTGGAGGTGGCCGGGTGGTTCAGAGGTCAGAGCGCTGAGCTGGTAAGTCTGTAGTGTCCGCTTCCACGGTTCATTCTCTAACATGACGGGATGCACTGCTATGTTAAGAGTTCTGAATGAAATCTTTGTCTCAGGATGCGATGCCGATAGTGCAATCAGGACACAATTGAGGGGTAAATTATAATAATTGTCATTTATAGCCTTAATAAGTCTCAATACTTATTTTCAGGAGGATTTGAAGCAAAATTTAAATAAGAATATTTTTTAAATAATTATTTTTCATAATAATTATTTTTATTTTGTTTAATTTTTATACCTACGTGACTTTACCGAAAGAACCAAAGAGTTTCAGGAGAATCTTATATCAAGATGTTAGGCCAATTCCATGAATGAGCATTTGACTTGTAGCAGGAAACTGGAGCACCCGGGAAATCAGGAGATATCCATCAAAGTTATGCACAACTCACACTTTTGACCACCTCACCCCAAAGCAAGCTGCTTTGGGAGTTTCTCAAATCCCTAGGGGAACCAACAACCCTCACTCGCCTCCATGGCACGGGTCCACCGACGTTGTGCGTCACCGCGCCACGGTGCCACCGTTCGCCTCACCTGATGGAGAAGCTGCGGTCCAGCTGGCAGTTGTCGCTGTCCGCTGCTGAAATGCTGTCCTCGTCGGACTGCCGACTCGGGGGAGCTGCTGCTCGCGGGGGCTGTGGCGGCAGCGGTAGTTGCAGCTGTGGCGGCAGCGGTAGCTGTAGCTGTGGCGGCAGCGGTAGCTGTGGCGGCAGCGGTGTTTGGAGGAGCTGGCAGAGCCTCGTCCCGCAAAACCTCTACCCGCCAATGAGCGGACCGGGCCGCTGGCGATCGCGGCACCGCTGGCGAGCTCGACGGGATTTCCAGGTCGTCGCTTTTCGACGAGGCGGAGTTCCCAGCGGGCGAGGCATCGTCGCTCGGCCGCTTCACGAGGTGGCCAGACGTCCTCGAGCGGGAGACGGAGTATGAGCTTGCCACGGGATGGTGCTCGGCTCCGGCGGCCGCAGGAGGACTCGTGTCGACGGACGGGCAACTCTCCGCGCTCGCCGTCTGACCCCTGTCGGTAAACGTGTGTCCGTCCGCGGATGAGGTCCTCTCGTGGAAGATCCTCTTGGCCTGTGCCACGTCCTTGCTTTTGCTCGTCATCTGATAAGAATGAACATCCAACGATGTTGACTTAGAGAGCTGCAGGAGGTTTTCCCTCTTCCCGCCGTGAAACGCGACGTCCTTCTCAGCAAAGCTGTTGGCTTGTCCTCGTCCGAGTGACCTGACGGGGACGTACCCGACCACAGACCTCCTGTCCCCCGGTTTCAGCCCGGACAGGGGAGTGTCCTGGATGCCGAAGAGGCTTTCGAAGGAGCAGATCTTCTGGCGGACAGACAAGCCGGTCGGCTTGGTAATTCTCAATCGAGTCCGCCACCCTCGATTTATCTTTTTCTGTGTCAGCCCATTTCACTTTTCGTGGCTGACTATCGGACAGCGCGCTCCTCTCAACGTCACCGGCCATGGGGCTCGCGGTCCATTGCCCCTGTGTCGTTGTACCAGTGCACGGGAGGATCACGATCTTCTCATTGCCTTCAGCAATTGTTGCGTCGCCTCTGGAACTCGGCGGAAAGGCCCGCTCATCCATTTCCGTGGGAACGTCTTCCGCGTCGTCCAGCATCACCGACGTCGCTTTCACCTTCAAGAACTTGGCGGGCGCGGTGCTGCCACTGCCGACACCACTCACTCTCTTGCCCTCCGAAGAAGCTCCGCTAGGAAAGGATCGGCTCGCGACCAGCGGCGATTTGGGCTGGAAGCTCTGGGCTCTCCCCACCGCCGCCGATCTCTGCTTGGACTTCTCGTCGCCCATGCTGGCGGTGCTGAAGGCGCGGAAGGAATCCGCCGTTGGCTTTGTGGCCACCCACTCCTTCGAGTGCCTCCTCGACAAGATCTGCCCGGGCGTCATGGGCTTCACGGGCCTGCACACCACCGCCTCTGGCCGCTCCTCCTGCCGTCGCAATGTTTGTCACTTCAATTGCCCTGTCCTTGTCCAGCGGCTGTTCAGGACCGGAGAGAGTCACAAACGACACCCTGGCCGCCGAGTGAGAGGTGCGTTTATCAGGCTCGGGGTCCGCTCTCGCGGTCGCGGGGCAGGCGGCGCTTCCTGGCAGGCTCGTCGAGGGAGAAGTTTTGGCTATCGGCACGTTGCAGGAGTTGCGCGAGCGGGATCTTGGGTTTCGGGAGCGTTTTGGGAGGACGGTCGGACTTGGCCACGTTGGCAGGACTTTGACCATCGCAGAAGGTGTGATGAACCGCCGTGCAGGCCAGTCCCTGAAGTGCTGGCCTCTCCTGCGGAAGCTCTGGATGTTCCCGATTATTCATCCCTAAGGCTTCTGCCCTGGGGTCACTGAAGTCCAAGCTCGGCGCTGGAGGTGAGTGGGGTCTTATCTTAACGTCTCTGACCTCTCCTTGCACAAAAACGTCGTCCTCCATCTGCCTCGGATTTTCACTCCTCCCCTCGCCTCCGTCCACCGCTCCGCCAGTCACAGCTTGCAGTCCCGGCTCAACAAGCTCATCTCCCTGGCAACGGTCTGCTCGTGGAAGGGACGAGACTTCATTGTCCATGGCAGGAGCCGAGCCCGCGTCGGGCACGCGTCCACCAAGCACCTTGACGTGAGCGGCGTCTTCATCGGCCCCGACATCCGCGGCCTCGCTCCGAGGATCCGAGGCCACGGGCGCTCGCTCGGCCACGACGAACGCCTCCGAGCACGGATCGCCACCGTGCGTCCCGTCGCCTCGTCCTGCGGTCAGCGCCCCTGCCGGGCGTCGCTCCATTCGGCGGGATCCTCCTGCTCGGCGCAGGGTGTGCTCGTCGCAGTCGGCTGGCGCCGCGAGCTTTGCGGGATCGTCCCTCTCCGAGAAACCATCCGCGCGCCGGTCCCGCGCCTCCCGCTCTGTCCCGCGCCGGTCTCCCTCGCGGTCGTAACTTTCTAGCGCGGGGAGGGAAGCGGGGCGCGGTTCTGTCGCACTCCGCTCTCTCGCTTCCTCGTCGCTGCCACTGCCGCCTCCGCTCGTTCCTTCTATCGCTTCCGTGCCGACTTTGCCGACTCCGCCCGCCAGTGGCACCGCGCTTCCCTCTCCCGGGCCGTCACCGCCGCCGCCGCCGTCGCTGCCACCCCTGTCCTCGGACAAGATCTGGTCGAGGACGTCGTCGATGTATGACACGGGGATGTCGCTGTGGTCATCGTTATTGTTGTCGTCGCTGTTGTCATCGTCTCCGCCTTTGCCTTGAGGAGGCGGTACCTCCCCCTCCTCCTCCTCTTGCTGCTTTTCTTGCTGCTCCCCCTCCTCCTCCTCTTGCTGCTTCTCTTGCTGCTCCTCCTCCTCCTGCTGCTGCTTCTCTTGCTGCTCCCCCTCCCCCTCCTCCTCCTGCTGCTGCTTCTGTTGCGGTTCCGCGATCGGCGCTCGCAGTGAGAGCTCCGCTTCCCCTGCCGCTTCCCGTTTCGTTTCGCTGACGAGGGGGCCGGAGTCGGGGTCGGGGTCGCAGCGACGTTGCCGGGCCTCGCCTTGCAGGCACGCCGGGCCCCCCTCCCCCATCGGAGGGGGGTCTGCTGCCATAGTGCCCGAGCTCATGGTGCCTTTCTCTGCTGCTGCTGCTGCCGAATTAAAAAATAAAATTGGTTGATATGATTATTATTGCTACTACTACAGCATTACGATGACTCACGCGTGTTTAGTTTGTTGTCCTTCCCCCGCACCTCTGATTAGCACGGTTGCCTACGTATGGTGGCGAAAAAAGTTCAACATACAAAGTACCAAGAACTCAAACGGATTTTCATTTTACTGATAAATGTGGCTTTTTGTGGGTAAACCCCAGTACTTGTTAGTTACAGCAGAAACAAGTAGGAATATTGTCATGTTGTTAAAATTGTAATGGTTGTGCTCACTGTACATATATGTACACACTCAGTGATGTGAAGACATTATCGTCTGAATATTTAATTTTAGCAGCAACTAATGTAATATAATCGTTGAATTGGCCTGACGTTGTTCGTTCTTTCTGCGCCGATATTCCATTCCATGGTTTTGTTTGGACCTTGGGTCTTAAAGGGCTCCTACTTCTGTACTTAAACTGACCGTCTTTGTTTTCCCGGTGCTCGTACTTATTTACCCACCACGGCACCACTGTTGCGCATTTGGTTTGAGTTGACCAAGCGTTGGTGTGTGACCAATAATACTTAAACCCAAATCTCCCTGCGCAGTGCACTAACCACTTCCCATACCTTCCCACACACACACACATTTGCCATTATTAATCAACTTGCTTATCCGGGAAAGCCTCACTGAGTGGCTCAAGGCTCAACACCCTCCCAACTGACTCCCGCCCGGTTGGCTGCGTACGGTGTGAAAGAAATTCAAGACGAAGACAAAGATCCCCCATACAGCCTCAACAGACCTTTGGGGCAAGCGCTGTTAGCGAGCACCTATGAAGGCCGGCACGGCACACGAGGGGGTGGGTGGCCAGAAAAAAGCCACGACCACCTTTGTCTCTCTAGTGGCGATGTAGAAGACGTTCAACATACATACATACAAGTCGCAAGGATCAGAAGGTGGGGAGACGCGCGTGTCAGTCAGCGTGACTTCTTCACCCAAAAAAAATCTCGTTTATGAGTCTTGTGGCTCTTTTTCAGGAGGGTCCTGCCAAGTTTTTCACAGGAGGGCAAGCGATATTGCCTGCTATGCATATTCCCAATTGAATGATTTAAGAGATACTTTAGCAGCGTCGGCATGTTGGCCTATACCAGGAGGGCTGTAACTTCTCGGACAAGCGAAGCAAACCTCACCGCTACTCCTACTGCTGCTGCCGTTGCTATTGCTATTGCAGCTACTTCTTCTTCTACTGCAGCTGTCGCTTCTACTGCTGTTGTTGCTGCTTCTGCTTTATACTCTCGCTGCTTCTGCTGCTGCTACACCCCCAAGGCCCAGGTGCAGCAGGCAGCAGCAGCAGCAGTGTGAGGAGGGGGTCAACACGAGACCCTGACGCAGGAAGACGATCAATCACACAATTACGCACCCCGGCCGCTGTCAACACAGGCGCTGGATATCCTGGAGCCCCCCACCCACCCACCCACCTCCCCATCTACCCACCCACCACCCCCACCAATCCCTGGCAAATCCACATCCTTCCTGACCGTGGGGTTTAGTTACAGCTCGGGCTGAGCCGGCGGGGGGCGGTGGTTAATGTTCATTATCGGAGCGTGGCGCTGACAAGGGGCGGCTGAGTCGCGTGAAGCGAGAGACACGGAGCCGATCCGGGGTTCGTAATACTAATAATGATGATGATGATATTCATCATAAACATAACGTGGATTTGTATCGCGACCTAACACTCCAAGCGGCTCTAGATATTGTACAGGAACAACCGTTTACGTCAAACGACGCGGAATGAACTTTCCACGGCCACCTTGCACAGCACATTGCAGGAAAAGATAAAAACATTCATTTCGGTAAAAAAAATAGTTTGATCGAATGTGATAACCGAATCACACCATCTGACTGGTAGTATAATTTCTCGCCAAATATGTTCCCGATAGGTTGTAATAGGTGACACGGCTAGGAGTGGCAGCCACAGGCCAGAGGGACAGTGCATACTGGTTGTGGTATGCTGGGTAGGAAAGGTGGAGGAGGAGGAGCTGGTGGAGGAAAAGATGACAATTTAGGAGGATGATGAGGACGAGGTGAAGTGTACAGAGTATGATTATGAATGATAAAGGGGTTTTATTTTGCGGTTGGATCGCGGACAGATAAACGTGTTTCGTTAAACACGCCACCGCCTGACAACAGCCAGTTGGCAAGGTTTCGCCACGCCAACGAAACATGCTCATAATTAGTTGCTAGTTCAGCACAACGGGGTGTTGGAGAATAAACCCACAACATTTACAATTCGGGTTCCGATGTTTCGCTGGTGATTACAACCAGCTTCATCGGGCGACAGTCAGAATTGTGAAGTCCTCTTGATCTAACCCCCCCCCCTTAAAAAAACCCCTTTATCTTGGATAATATTGGTGATGAAAGCCTACGTGTTAAACTGTGACTATGGAGACGATGATTAGAATGACAATGATAATGCGAATGAGCTGTGCACGTATGTACTCTCAACCTCTTTCGCACCGTACGTAGCTAACCGTGCTCATCGGAGATGCATACCGTGTCAACCCATACGGTTGACACCGTAGTCTTGTACAGGGAAATTGAGTTCAGGTCAATTCAGGAGTTTTAATATGGAGATGAAAAATGTCTATTTGTTTGTGTTTCTCCCTTGTGATGGGACTTTGCAGGATGAACGTTGAGCTTTATAAGGGCACGGGGTGACCGATACGGTCTGAATTGGTCTGTAATAAGGTGGGGGGCACTGCTGATAAGGGTTTGACAGGCGTGGAGATGCGGGGGAAGGACAACAAGGCGGGACTATGGCGAAGTTGATGAGGATGATGAGGAGGAGGAGGATCAAGACGAGGATAGGAGTGAGGAGCAGGAGGGCGAGGAGGAAGAGGGGGATGAGAATGAGGAGGGCGAGGAGGAGGAGGGTGAGGGGGATGAAGAGGCGAGGTGGATGAGGAGGGCGAGGGGGAGGAGGAGGACGAGGTAGATGAGGAGGAGGGCGAGGAGGAGGCGGACCCACCTGGGAGTGAGCGCGTGGCGTCTCGCCGCAGCACCATGCGCAAGGACAGCGGCAGGTTGCAGAAGAGGCGGCAGGCCTCGTCGGGCTCCAGCAGCGACAGGGTCACGCCGTTCACGCACAGCACCTCGTCGCCGCAGCACAGGCGGGCGCCCACCTCCTGCGGACACGCGCAGGCCTCAATAGCTCGTCTCGTCCCCCCCCCCCCCGTGGTCGTCGCTTAAGGCCGAGTCGACCTAGGCGAGGCCCAGGGTAGTGTGTGAACGCACACGTTACGCGCACGCACATAGTAATAATAATAATAGTTCAATTTGTAACACGCGCAAATTTGCAGACGTAGTGGCCGCAACTCAGAGGCGCGGAGCCAAGCTCAGAGTCGCTCGAAAGCTCATGATTGTAGAGGTGAGTTTGTAAGTGTCTCTTGAAGGAGGCGATTGAGGTGATGCTGCGAATGTGCAGAGGGATAGCGTTCCAGAATGTTGGGGCTGCCACCAAGAAGCGGCACATAGACATGACCATCCTGGATCTTGGTATCAAGAGGCAGAGTTACACTCGCGTAGGAGTGCGGGACGGGTCTTCGTTGAGGGATGAGGTGCCCTTCGAGAGGTACCTGACACAAGTTCGGATGTCACTGGCCACTGACGCTAGCCGGGGCCCGGAGTCGAACACAGGTCGCTGGGGTCGTCGAACAGGAATCGAACCACCGCACGGCCGCACGCATTTCAGTGAACCTGCAGCTTTTTTCTGGATGTGTTCATACAAAGATCCTCCCTTCCCGTATAGCCTCAACAGACTGTTGAGGTAGGTTCCGTTAAGCGGGCACCTACGAAGGCAGGCACAGCGCACGACCACGTTTGCCTACCACCCAGTGCCGATGTTTACGCACAGCACCAGGTACTCATTTAAGGCGTAGTCGACCTAGGTGAGGGCCAAGACCCGTTCGAAACTTCACAACTTTTGGCCGTGAGCGGGAATCGAACTCGGGTGGCTGGGTTCGTTGCGCAGTGCACTAACCACGACACTGTAGGTCAACCGCTGCAGACTACACTGGGATGATTGAAGATGATGGTGGTGGTGGTGGTGGTCACGACGATGAGGATATCAATGACGACACGGAGTCGACACACGGGAGTCGCACAACTTGGACCGCTGCTGCGCCACCAAATGAACTTAAACACCTGGCTGAAGCATCTGTATATGCTCACGCAGTACGCACACTCTTTACGTAACATTTCCTTTCCCCCCCCCAAAAAAAATATAGATGATCACCGATTTGCTCCTTGCTCGCTTACCCACGTGCAGAGTTTACAAAAATCTTAACCCCGCAGTATCGCACGCAACGCAACGCCGCGTCCGTGTCAACTCGCAGTCACGCATCTGATGAGGACGGACGTAAGAGACGTCAGGACGGACGGGCAGACAGACACACGGATGTACGGACAGACAGACGCACGGATGTATGGACGGACGCACGGGCGGACGGACGTACGGATGTACGGACAGACGAACGGACGCACAGAGGGACCTTGAGAAAGTGAACCGGGCTGACCCCCACACTCCCGCCGCCGCTGCCTCCTCCTCGGCCCTCCCTACCTCGGCTCCCTCGACAGCGCAAGGCGACGGTCTATCAGAGCCCGCGAGCCCTCACCGCGTCGTCGCACACCCGCACCTTTAAACAAGCGGGCTCCACTTCACCGTGCCGACGTTGGGGCGGACGAATGCGTTAAAACGCAGCGTCCCAGGGGGGTGGGGGCAAAGCCTCGGAGGAGGGCACCTTGGGCAGAAGTTGAGGGCGGCGAGGGCGGGTGGCAGCAGGAGTTTACTCGGCAGGAACCAAATGTGTCGGCGGTGATAAGGAACACCTGGGCTTCCAATGGAAACGAAAAAAACCCCAAACCCCACGAATGTTTCCTGGAACGGGCGATATCTCTACTGAACCTCGTGCTCGCGGGCGCTCGCCTATCCGGTCGCTTTTCTACGACATCAACAAGAGCCCGTGGAAATTACGTAAAATCGATACGATTCGTTTAGAAGAACCTACAAAGTCGTAAGAAACGCTACGTTTCTCACGGAGGAGCCGTCGATGCTTATGCTTTCGTTTTTTCTTAAATTAGAATTTAAAAAAATGTGTGAGCAAAGTGTTGCTTAACGTGCGTTTATAAAACGCACCAACACATATTAGGGATATTGGAGGTAACACATACACGTACCATAATTTTAAGATCACCGCAGCTTCATAATGGGAGGAAAAATGTATTCACTGCAAAATCCTGTCCTGCCTATGCCCAGTGTCAGGTGAACGGTGGTCCGGGCACCGCACCACGAACCCGGCCACGGCTCATGTGAGGGCGGATAACAAAGTGCGAGGACCCCTAGCGTGGACAACGTGTCCCTCGAAGGGCTCTCCGCCGCAGTCCTGCGATATCTCCTCCAGTGGGCCGTTCGCACACAGACACGTGTGACGCTCTGCTCGGCTAGAAATCCAAATGGACTAAGATTTGCCAAAACAGGGAATCGTAGAGGAGTTCCGTTGCTTCCCGTCGCTACCGGACATTGCACAAAGAGAGAGCCGGCACGAACGCGTCAGCTCACCCGCTCGGCCACTCCGCCGCGCTTGAGCTCCTTGATGTAGACGCGCATGGGCGCCGGCTTGATCTCCAGGTCCAGGCCGAACGTCTCCGACTCCCGCCTCGAGATCTGCACCACCTGCAGGTCGTACGACCCGGGCCGCCCGCCCCGGGGACCCCCCTCGCCGTCGCCGTTCACGACGGAGCGCGCTGGGCCGGGTCTCGAGGGCCGGTCATAGCCCGCGGCCCCCTCCCCCGCGCGCCGGCAGGCCGGGTCGCCGCCGACGAGAGCGGGGGGCGCACCGTCGTCGCGTCCTCTGGAAGGCGGGACGGACACCGTTGGATTCCTGGCGTCGGCACGGATGTCCGACCCCACGCGGTTGGTCAGATCCGCAGCGCCGGATAGATTGCGAAGTTCGCTTTCGCGGTGGATATGAATAGCAGAATCGGTCCACGTCACAGAGTCCGGAAGTTCGCCGTCCAGGCCTTGTGATGACGACACGTCCGCGCGTGGCACGGCCACGCCACGTTCTCCGGAACGACCGGTCCGACCCGAGCCGTCACCGTGTGAAGCATCGTCCGCTCCCTCCACTCCAGCAGAGCGGGAGGCCTCACTAGGAGCCGCCTCCGTAGTGACGGGTTCCGTGTCCCCCAAGTCCGAACCCTCCGACCTTGCAGCTTCGACTGCAGAGGTGTCGGCCGATCCACCCTTCGCCTGGGACTTGGCTGTGGTTCTGTTTGTTGGCGACTGTGTCTGGCATGAGATGATCTGCTGCTGCTGTTGCTGCTGCTGCTGTGGACACTCTACGCTCAGCATGCTCTTGACGCGCATCACCGCCTTGTGCTCCAGCTTGGGCGATCGCTTGAAATCGATTTGTCCGCCGGCGGCGCAACTCACCTCTCCGTCGCTCCACGGGTCCGCGTGTCGGCCCACGGTCAACCCGCTACCCCCGCCGCCGCTGCCGCCGCCGCAAGTGTCCGCAGCGCCCCCCGCGTAGTCAAAGTACGTGGTGGCGGTGGTGCCGCGGATGGGCACAAACGGCGAGTCGCCGCCGCGCTCCCTGCCCACGCCGGGCCCGTCCTCCGACTCGAGCGAGCTGCCGTGCAGCGAGCTGGGCACGTCGCTGCTGGCGGCGCGCGCGTTGCCGCCGTAGCAGAAGAAGTCGCTGTCCTGGCTCTCGTCGTCCACCTCCACCGACGAGGTGGCGATGACGATGCCCGAGTTGGCCAGCTCCCGCTTGACCGCCGACGATTGCGACGAGGACGACGACGAGAACACGGCCACCGCCGCTGCCGCCGCGGAAAGGGCAGAGGACGACGGAGACGGCGCTTGCGAAGGGCCGTCGGCGGCCGCGTCGGTCACGGGGCGATCGGCGGCCCTCCCTCGCCGGGCCGCCCGGCACGCGCGGAAGCTGCCGCCCCTCCCCGCCGGGCCCCGTCCCTCCTGCGCCGGTCGCCCGCCGCCGCCTTCCTCGTCGCTCAGGCCGTCGTCCTCGTAGCGCAAGACACGCCGCTGCCGCAGCAGGGGGCTGCGCGACGCCTGAGGGCTGTCCGGCGGCACCGCCTGCTTTGCCACCTCCACCTGCCGGTTGCGGACGAGCGGCGGCGCCGCGGCGGCGGCGGAGGTGCCGGTGGCGGCGGCGGCGCTCGGCGTTCGCTCGGATGGAGGTGAACTCCTCGCTGGCTCCGGCGAGGCCTCGCGCGCTGTCGAAGAGTGGTTGCTGGCGTCCGTGGGGCCCCTGGCGGTGCGGGCGTCTTGTTTCGACGGCGGCTGGGGCCCGTGCAACTGTTTAGGGATTCACGCGTCAAAGAGGTGTTTGTTTCGTGGGGGGGGGGGGGAGGGGGGGTTGGGGGGAGGGGGCGGGAAGCGCACTCCGGAGTTATGGCGAGTCGCACGATTGTAGCGGTGGCGTTGCGTTAGGCTTCACGGGCGCGATGTCACGGTGGCTTTGCTGGTGCCGTGACGACACGCCTGGCTCTTATTTAGCGTCTTTACTGTCAGTCACGCAGCTGAAGGCCCCTGTGCATGGTCCTTTAATCGATGCCCTATAGGGAACTGGATTAGCTTCCCTTGACACTCGGCAAGATATTAATGGAATAATATTTGCTCTTATACACATGATATTATTGCCCTCACCAACCCTCATGAACTCTCACCAACCCTCACCAATCCTCACCAACCTTCACCAACCCTCGTAAACCCTCACCAATCCTCACCAACCCTCACCAACCCTAATCAACCCGCGCGGACCAGCATGGAGAAGTACAGTCCAATCACCACCACGACCCGCACGGTGTGGGGAGGCCCTCATTCAGCAGTGGATTGACAAAAGAGCCGCGCACGTACATATGCATGTACGTTCAACTCCTTTCGCACCGTACGTAGCCAACCATGCTAAGCTGTAGGTGCGGTGCGGGGAGCATGCACGCGTCACACAATCATCATTATCAAATTCCCTTCGCTCAAATCTGACCCGAACAGAATTATACAGCAGAGGACAGGCATAGGAACACAATCGTCAACTTTTGAGACAGATATCGTTTTCAGAACGTGCATCCACATTGTCAAGGCAGATTTTTTTCCGCAACACGTCGAAGCACCCAGACACATCCGGTGGAACCCTCCCCACCTGCTGCTGTAGCTCCTGCTGTAGTTGCTGCTGCAACTGCTGCTGCAGCCGTTGTTGCTGCTGCTGTTGCTGCTGCTGCCGCCGCTGCTGTTGCAACGTCGCCTCCTCTGCCCGAGTGGAGGCGGGCTGCGGACGTCTCTCGTGCCGGGCGTCGCGACCCGAATGCCTCTCCCACTTGGTGTCCCGGCCGGCGTGTCCCCTGCCTGCGAGGTAGAGAGATGCGTGGGGTGGGGTGGGGGGGCTCACGAACGCTCGGGGAACAGTCGCACGCTCTAAGAACGTCCGGGGAACAGTCGCACGCTCCGAGCGATGCCCGTGGCGGCCGCGCACGTTAACGTTGGCCGTTTCCGCCGTGGCCGGGAACAGTTCCATCTGAATAAATAAGAACACTTAATCATCGCAGAACTCACCTCTTTAGCTCCGCACTTTGTTTTCTTCAAAATGAATATATACGCTGTCCTTCCAACACCCCCCGCACCTCCGATTATCACGATTGGGGACGTACGGTGCGAAAGAAATTCAACATACGTACCGAGTATTTACTCGCGAAGATAAGAAGACGTTGGATAGAAGAAGCTGCTTGTAAACAATTGCGAGAAGGGGAAACGCGGCCTCGACTGGAGGCAGCCGAGGCGGGACCGGATTGCGATCTGAACGAGCGCCGATGCCGGCAGAGAGAGCGGGCGAGTGAGGGGGGAGGAGAGCTTGTGAAACGAACGTCACGCAACTTGCCTTGCGACCTTCGCAATGAAATAAATATCCCGACACAGGAAGCCGTGCGGCTCATAATGCCTCTCTCCGAATTACACACGTGTTGGCCATGTTTGCACAATCCGATAAGCGCCTCGTCAGTGTGTTTTTTGCCCCCCCCCAACGTCTGTCTTGATTTTTATTTTAAGCTTCCGCAGCTCATTCCGTGTGTAACTGTCAGCAGTAGAAAGGTCGAAACCGAGACGGAATGAGGAACATCTGTCAACACGTGTCTCTGTCCCTTTTTTTCTCTTCTTCCAGTTTTGGTATTCCCCACCCCCCCCCCCCCCCACACAATTTGTGTTTGCCCCGGATTTCTCGCACGGCAGCGTAACCCCACCGCGTGCTGGAGAACGGCCCGCGGGAGCGGAGGTCACAGAGCTACTTCTGGGAGACAGGCTTCGAGCGACCTCTGGTCCACACATAGGAGGGCAGTACTTGCCCACCCGACCTCACAGCAGGAATTTTCATGATGCAGTCATCGGTGACCAGGCCGTGGCTAGACGTGCACTAGAATTGAGAACCAGGTTTGATCGCGGGTGGCTGAGACCGGGATCCAAACCCCTGGATCTCAGCGGTGCCGGCTCAACGATTTGACATTTCAGTCACCCGGCCACCGCAGGCTGCGTCCCTTTCCGCAGGCCACCGTTTTATTTTTTTGTCGATTGGTAAAAGGTTAAAAGGTCAAGGCGCAGCCCTGCAATTGCTCAATCGCGCCACCGCTGGTGGAAGCCCCCCCCCCTAGCGGAGGCTATAGAAAGCCCCCCTCTAAAAGGTTATTTGACCTACTCTTCCATCGCGACACAATTTGCGCCAACATTATAAACAACGCTACCGCGTTCAACTCACAGAGCTCACGTCGAAAGTTCACATCGGTGGTTGTTCGACTATAAGTATGTTGAACTTCTCTTGCACCGTACGTAGCCAATCGTGCTCATAGGCGCTGCAACCGACCAGGTCGGCGGCTCTCTCGGCCATCGACCTTTTGTTGTTCTTCCGCCGGCACCTACGATGAGCACGGTTGGCTATGTACGGTGGCGAAAGAAGTTCGACATCCAAAACGTCGCCACGCCAGCCCTGCATCCATCCCTCTCCGGCGCAGTGCCATTGACGGCACGCATTGCGTTGGGTGTTCTTTGCGCTTCATTCGCCAACCGTACGTCGCGTGGTTGGCCTACGGGCGGTGGGCGAAGGGAGTCCAATGCGCAAAGCACGTGCGCACGTGCACCTGCAAAACCACCATCGTGCCCGTTGGCTCGGCCACGGTAGCCAAACGACAGAGTCAATGAATAGGGTGGTGGGGGGGAGGGACTCTCTCTGTGGCGTCAAGGGGCGGCGATTGCCAGCGGACGCATCGCGCCCCTCCCTCTCGCAGGAAACAGATGCGACGAGGGGGGGGGGGGTGTTATGATGAAGGTCGTAATTCAAACCGGCCCGCCCACTCCGTTTCCCCAATGTCCCCTCGTGACCCCCCCCCGCCTGCCCACCCCACCCGCGCGCGGCGACGCAGGGGACGTTTTGCGGAAGAGGATCAACGACGAGGCCAGGGGTGGGACCCGCAGACGACGGGGGAGGGGGCGGGGGTGGGTTGTGTTGGGGCCACCAGCACCACCACCACCACACACAAGTTGTTATTACGACTGTCATTCCTGCTGTGGCGACCGTATTTGTCCATGGTGTGTGTATTTGGTCGCCACAGATGTACTGCACAGCTCATTGGATTCCATCCAGAGTCAAGAAATATTCTCGATTCTGATATTTCGCGACGCCGGTCAGTGCGGGTTGGTGAGAGCGTGGAACACAGAGGGCACGCCACCTGCAATGGATGTTGCTGCACTTACCCTCGGCAGCCCACAGTGTGGCTCTGGGGCACAAACACATGCGTAGAAACCACCCCCCCCCCCCCCCCCCCATAAAATCATCGTGAAATGGACTCAGACTTTCATGGATCGAATCCGGTAAAAATGCGAGGTGTTGGGGAAGGCGCGAGGGTTTGTCGAGCGTGCGGGCGACAACTGCGAGGCTGGCGAGCGACTGGCGCAGCGCGTGCGCTCCCACGCTCCCCGCCAGCCCCTCCCGGCGCTCCCCCGCGCCTCGCCGCTTCCCCTCGCACACCCACGGTTTCCTGGCTGCGCGTGGGGGACACGGGAAGGCGTGCGTTGTGGGGGGGGGGGGGGGGCCGAGGAAGAAGGGGAGAGGTGAGGAAGGGAGGGGCGGTGGCACCTGCGGCCTCGTGGCCTTGAGCAGCAGCCGGCGACGCACGGCCTCCATGCGGCGAGTCAGCCGCTCCCAGCGGCGCGGTTTGCACGTGGGGCGTGAGGAGTGTAATGGGGGGCTCCCCTGCTCAATTTACACCCCCCTCCCTCCCTGCCTGCCTTGTCTTCTTCATAGCCAGGCGTCTAGGGCCCTCCTGCCCGTGGGCTCCGGTGCAGGGCACCACAGTGGCGAGGTTGTTAACTACCTCGCCTGGTGTGCGGGAGGTCGTGGGTTCGATCTCGACCCTGACGACGCCTGCTGTATATTACGATTTTGCATGTTCTCTCTCTCTCTGTGGTCGTGTTGATTGTTCTCCGGTTCCTCCGTTTTTTCCCTCCACGTTTAGAATCAAAGTGCATTCAGAGTAATTGGCTGCAAGAAATGTCCACGTGATAAGCCACTTCGTTGAGCTATTGTTTGTGGCCAGGTCGCATCTGAAAAAGAGCTACACAGCTCAGTGGGCCTTACCTGGTAAAATAAAATAAAATAGTTTTGTTTTAGATGAGCCTGGACTTGAGCAGGGGGCAGGGAGTCGGCAACACGGGCAGCTGGGGGTAGGGAGGGAGTCGCAGGCTACGGGGGGGGGGGGGGGGGCAGCAACAGAGGAGGATGAACCTCGACCGGGAACGCCGAGTCACGCACCGTGCGACGATGCCGACGGTGCCAGCGGCGGCGGCGGCGTCGAGGGCGGCGGCACCGCTCCCCGCGTGGACGGCGGGGCGGGCGAGCCGTGCCCCGCGTTGCCGTGAGCGCCGGAGCCGACGTGAGGATGGGGAGCAGCAGGAGGAGCAGCAGGATGATGAGCTGGAGGGGGAGGAGGAGTGCCAGGGATGTCCGGTCTGTCCAGGGCGGCCGGGTGTGCGGGCGCCTCGGCCGGGAAATACTGGGAGAGCTCTGCCTCCGAGCTCACGGATCCTTGCTGCGTGTGTGCGCGTGTGGGGAGCGGTGGAGCAGCGGTTAGCGCACTGAGCTCCGAACACTGCGACCCGCGTTTGATTCCCGCTCAAGGCCAATGCCAGCGACGAATATCTGAACCGGTGCTGGGCCTCCCTTAGGTCGACTTAGCCTCACATTAGTACCTAGTGCGGTGTGTAAACATCGCCACGAGGGAGACAAAGGCGGCCGGGCGTTATGTTGGCCACCCAGCCTCTCATGTGCCGTGTCGGCCTTCATAGTTGCTCGCTAACAGCACTTGCCCTAACAGTCTATTAAGGCTATACGGGGGATCTTTGTTTTGTTTGCACGTGCGCATAAGTGTGACAAGTGGAGAGCGGTGGCGTAGTGGTTAGTACGCTGCGATATCACCCGCTCATGGTGTAACACCAGCGGCGTTTATCTGAACCGGTCCTGGGCCTCCCAAGGTCAACTCAGCCTTAAATTAGTAGCTGGTGCTGTGCTTGCCAACATAGGAAACGTCCCACCCACCTGCACCGGTTCTCTGTGAAATCTAAATGGGCACGGTTCCCAATGGCAGCCCACCTTGGGGTGTGGGACAAACTTCCAGACCAGCGAAATGAAAAGCTACCAGATTGATCAGTTTTGTCGGCTGCGATTGACGAAAACCCCTAATCTAACATCAGTGCCGGACTCAGCTAGTGCGGGGCCTGTAGCATATATTATAAAGAGGCCCTAAATAAAAAAAACATATACATCAAAATATTTTTTACTTGCATAGTAAAGTAATTGTATTTTTTTATTTGCTATACAGCCAGCTAATACGACAAATCGCTAACCTTAAACATCCAGTCGTTCATAAAAGTTGAAGGCAGTATAGTACTATAGTAATAGAGCAAGCGCAGAATCACTGAATCGGAATTGATAGCTTTAAAGCATTTAGCGTGGGTCCCTTGAAAGTGCGGGGCCCGCAGCTACTACATATGTAGCTACTACATATGTAGCTACTTGTGCTATTAGGATCATCCGGCACTGTCTAACACCAAGGCTTACAATCTCTGCATTGCTGCATACCCAGCTTCCCCCCACGCCCCCCCCACACCCATCGCCCGGCTCCACCCAGGGCAGTCTGGCTGGAAGGGGGGGAGGGTGGGGGCGGTGCGTGGTGGGGGGGACGGGGTAGGAGGAGGAGGGGGGGAAGGGCTCGACCCACCCGGCTCATGGGCTCGAGGAAGCGCCGCATCGTCCAGCTGAGTGCGGAGGTCGCGTTCTCGACCTGGCGGGGTCGCGTGGACGGGGAGGGGCCCGGGGAGGGTGCCGGGCTCTTGGGGGGCAGTGCTGGGGGAACGACGCGGGCGCGGAGACACGCGGGCACGTGAACGGCACGGACGTGCGGGCGCGTGGCGGGAGGGAACGGACGCACAGAGCCGTGAATACGCGTGGACACACGCACGGACACACCGATAGACGGAGAGATGAACGCACAGACGTTTCATTACATGGACACGCGTATTGGTGCGTCAAAGGTCTGCACACGTGGATGCGAGAATGCTCTGCTGTGCCGCCATCTCCCGATCATCTCACGGCCCAAGTCTAAAACACCACCTGCTAGCTCCCAGGCAGTCGCCCATCCGAGTGCTAGCCACCCTCCAGACCAACTGCTGTGATGCGATGGCCAACGAGGAGGTGATACAGAGGTGACGAAGTTGTTAAACTTAAACTATATCGTTTTTTCATTTGACCAGATAGCTCGTCTGCAGTAAACGACCTGGCTGTCGCAAGTGATGACTCAACGAAATGGGTTCATCTTCACGTGGAAATGTAGAGCAGCCAAATACTCGAAACGCGTCATGTTGAATATGAATGTGGAGGGAACAACTGGAGGACCCGGAGAAAAATGCACGTGACCACGGGGAGAGAGACCACGCAAACTCCAAACATAGAGGGATCGACCCCACGACCTCCTGTATACGAGGCGAGGTAGTTAACATCTCGCCACCGTGGCGCCCTTACCGGCGGTGATGCCGCCAGGGGCCGGCGAGGAATCTTTGCTCGTGGCGCTGCGTGGGTTTGGCCTCGCGATCGCCTCGTCCATCTCCTGCTCCGAGACCTGCAGCGGAACGAGCACGGAGTGAACGGTGGGCAGTGGGGCCACGATCCGCGCGGCTGCCGCCGGCCGATGTGCACCGGGGATACGGTGGTCTCGTGTTTCGGGCGGGAACGCTTTTGAATAAAGCGCATCCATTCATGGTGTTTGTTGTCGCGTGTGTTTGTCCGAGTGAGTCGGAGTGGGTAAGTGAGCGAGCGAGTGGACGAGCATGAGAGTGAACGAGCGAGCTGCGATGTCTGTGAGCGAGCCAGCGATTAATGGGCTTGTGAGTCAGTGAGCGGGTGAGCAAGGGAGTGAGTGAGCTACTAAGCCTTTGAGCGAATGAGTGAATTAATTGTGAGTGAGCGAACGAGCGAGTGAGCAAACGCGTGAGTGAGTGAATAACTGTATGAGTGGGAGAATAATTTAGTGGGTGGACGGGTGAGTAAGTGAAAGATTTATGCTTTAAGAAAGAACCATTGCCCGAATTTTTTTCCCTTTAAAGGCCACAGTGTTATTGACGAACGTGCCGAGTTTTTGTTCTACATCTTTTCTTCGTGCACCAATGCCGCCAGCGAAAAGCGAACGAGCGTGCGTCGAGGTGGGCGCGTGCGTGGGCCACTGGCACCTTGGGGTCCGGGTGGCGGCTGATGATGAGGCTCACGGGACCGGGGCCGCACTCGCTGAGGGCCGCGTAGGCCTCGCTGAGGGCCGCGTGCCGGAGGCTCACCGAGTCCACCTCGAGCAGCTGGTCTCCCCGGCTGCACCGCGACGGCACGCAGGAGCAGCAGCAGCAGCAACAACGACGACATCAAGTCACATCGCGGCTACGGGCAATGGCGTCTACGTACGTGTGCGTGTATGTATGTTGAACTTCTTTCGCGCCGTACGTGGCCGACCGTGCTAATCGGAGGTGCGTGGGAAGGACAACAAACTCTGAGGACGCTTTGACAAAAATGAAGACACTGCAGGAGCGCAAATGGGAGTTGGGGGAGCGCGGTGATCAATTTATTGCTGGATGGAGGCCTCCTCAATCTTTATTAATAAAAAAATAAGTTAAAGACTCTTTCCTCTTCCATTATTTAGATTCCCCCTCATCACCCCTCTTGTGTTTATTAAAATAAAAAAACGGCCAACTTTGCGATATTCCCACCGCAGACTTTGTAGTTACGGACGCGTACGACCTGTAACTTCAGAAGTGTGCCACGGGTTGAACACGTGAATACACACGGAAAAATGCATTCACAGACAATGCAAAGGGAAGGAAATATACGAAATGGCGAAATCAGGAATGAGACTGCCTTGCTTCTGACGGTCAAACGCCTCCGTCCTCAACAGCTTCAACACACGGTGCGATTCCAGTCTGCCGCTCCAGCGTGAAGTGAATGGGGCAAAGTGAATCGCAGGAGACTGCGCGCTGCGTCGTTGACGAACGGCGATCGAGACGAGGCCACCGCGGGGTTCGTCCGCGCCGGGGCGGTCGTCAAACCAAAATAACAAGAAGAGGCATTTATTTTTCGAAATCGGTAAAAAAAAAAACCTCAATATTTCAATAGCCGCAATGCCATGTGATGCCATGTGAATACAAGGCGGTGGGTCCTTAAAGAGCCACATGCCGCTCCGGAGCCGCTGGTTGCCGACCCCCTGGGGCTCTGCGTTCGACGACCCCCCCCCCCCCAGTCCTCCCCCCCTCCCCCCGCACGTGGCACACCTGAGCCTCCCGTCCATCTTGGCGACGGAGCCCGGCGCGAGGCTGTGGATGTAAATCCCCGGCGCGGAGTTCTCCAGCGCCACGAAGCACGCCACGACGCCGAGTCCCACGCCGGCCTCTGCTCCGGACGAGGGCGCAGAGATGCAACCGCGCGGTCATAGCACGGTGGGGGAGGGAGGCAGAACAAAAAATGCAAAGATTCCCCCGTATAGCCTTGAGCGGACCGTTGGGGAAAGTGCCATTTAGCGAGCAGCACCTACAAAGTCCGGCACGGCACACAGGGAGGGGCGGGCGGCCAGCACCACACCCGGTCGCGTCTGTCTCTTCCCAGCGGCGATGTGTACACACCACACTAGGTACTCATTTGAGGCCGAGTCTACCTAGGCGAGGCCCAGGACCGGTGCGTGTAATCGTCACTGATGTCGGCCGTGAGTAGGAATCGAACTCGGGTCGCGCACACGCACTGTGCGCGTCCCCGTATCTACCCGCGGCTCACCGCGTCTCCCACCTCTCCCCATGCTCCCACCCCAGGGGTCTCCCTCTCCCTCGTGCCACCTCTCACCCTTGCGCAGAGCCACCTCCATGACGACGCGGTCCTTGGGCCCGGGTCCCCTCCTCGTCGCCATGGCGACGTCGGGCCCCACGCTGGGTCCCGCCCCGGAGCTGCTGAGCCCCCCATCCTCGGAGTCCGGCACCGAGGTGCCCCCGCCGCTCGCGTTGGAGTTGGGGGTGCTGGAGCGGCTGAGCCGCGTCGGCGTGGGGCAAGGAGTGAGGCTCGGGCTGCGCAGACGCGTGCGCACGGTGAGCGTCACGACGCCCTTCTTCAGCTGCTGCGCTCGTGCACACGGGGGGGGGGGGGGGGGGGCAGTGAAGGGGGGGGGTCACCACGCGTCGATTCAACAAAACAATCATCGGCAGCATCATCAGCAGCAGTAGTAAACTTTTCTCTGTGCGAGGCAGAGCCCTCTTGCTGCCAGGCTCCGCGATTGTGGAATTCCATTCGTCCTCGGTCCATTCGGGATTCTGAGTCCGCTTTGCTTTTAAGAGGTCGTCTTGTGTCGGGTGGTAGCGGATTTAACGACACATTTATATTTATGCGATCTAAGCCCAAAAAAAACCTGTATTATTATTAATGATATTTGTCGCGAAAGCCTACGTGTTCAACTGATGTTGAACTTTTTTCGCATCGTACGTAGCCAAACTGCGCTCATTGGTTGGCTACGTACGGTGCGAAAGAAGTTCAACATTCATACATGTGTAGTGACATATCATGGGTCACTACGGCCCCTCGCGCCAGTTACTGATAGAGATGGGAACTGGGAGTGTAGTCGCCCTGTCTGCCAGTAGGGCATGCAATGTCATGGAAAGGGTCCCTAGGGGGCATGGTTCTGGTGGCTGGCAGAGAGGGGGCATCTGAGGACGTAGCAGCCCGATTGGCTGGCAAGGGCACGTGACAGGACAGGGTAAGGATGTGGGCCAAAGGTGACAGAAGGGACACGTGGTGTATGGCCCAGAATCTTCTGGTGAGTTCCAGACAGGGGCGTGGCCGAGGACCGAGCCAGGCCACGCTGGGGGGCATAAAAGGGAGGTCCTGGGGTCCCATAGGGGCTGGCTGCTGGAATGGCCTCCGCTCTTCGTGGTCGGCATCGTGGGTCAGGCAGTGTGCCGACTGACCTGACCCGTTTATATAGTCACCCCGTGGTGGTTACCGGTTATGTAGTTACCGGTTATGTAGTCACGCCGTTGTGGTTACTGGTTATGTCGTTACCCCGTTGTGGTCGTAGAATGAACGTGTTCCCTCCTGCATTAGTGCGTCTCTCAAGTGAACCCAGGACACGTGCATACTGCCACTGCACCACCCTGCTGGGTCTGTAAATGCGCGAACGTGTGTGTGTTTTTGGCGCTGCGTTGGCTGTGTCCGAGTACCTTGAACTTCTGTATGGCCTGTTGGTGAGTCAGGCCCTGCAGCGACTCCCCATTCACTTCCAGGAGCTCGTCGCCTTTGAAAAACAAGCACACCACGACGGTCACGTGGTGTGTATGGTGTAGTGTGTGCGGTGTGTGGGTGTGGGGTGTTGGTGTGTGGGTGTGTGTGGTTTGTGTGTGTGGTGTGGTGTGTGTGGGGTGTTGGTGTGTGTGGGGTGTTGGTGTGTCTGGTGTGCTGGTGTGTGTGGTGTGTTGGTGTGTGTGGTGTGTGTTGGTGTGTGTGGGGGTTGGTGTGTGGTGTGTTCGTGCATATTGCACCACAAACCCGGCTACCAGATTTTGGTATCTGAACCTGTTCCTGGGCCCCCATTAGGTCGACGCAACCTTAATGGAGTACGGGTGAGGAGTGTGATTGAGGCTGGGGTGGGGAGGTGGAGTGAGTGAACGAGCGAGCGAGCGAGCGGGTGACGATGGTGGTGGGGTAGGCGTTGGAGGTCAAGCGGGGTCGTGTGCCGTGCCGTGCCGGCCACACCTTCCTTGAGGCGTCCGTCGGCGGCGGCGGCGCCGCTGGGGAAGATCGTCTTCACGAAGATCCCCATGCGTCCCCTCGCCGAGTCCTGTCCTCCCACGATGCTGAACCCCAGGCCCTGTGGGACAGCAAAGGCATGGCGACTTCACGACCGCACTGATGCCCAGTGGTTCACGTCGATTTCTCAGTCGCTCTCACTCTCGTTCACGCTCAACTCACTTGCTCACTTAAATCCCTCGCTCGCTCGTTCAATCGTTCAATCACCCAGCTCACCTAGTTGCTCGCTGAATTATGAGCTTGGTCACCCTTTCACTCAGTTGCACTCCCCCTCCAACCCCCCTCTTTCTGTAGCTCACTCGCCTCCTCACTAACTCGCTCAATTACTGTCTCATTCATTCGTTCACCCACCCACTCAAGCACTCGGTCGCTCAATCTCGCTCAAAACACGTGCCTGCCCGCCCGCTCGCCCGCCCACTCGCACGCCCACTCGCCCACCTGCTCGCCCACTCGCCCGCTCGCCCACTCACCCGCTCGCTCACTTGCCCACTCACCCGCTCACTCACTCGCCTGCCCGCTCGCCCACTCGCCCACTCGCCCACCCGCTCACCGCCCGCTCACCGCGGGACGCGAGGGCCCCTGTGCGTTCGCGTTCGGTCGCTCACCCGGCCGTGGCCCTTCATGAGCACGATGTTGGAGATGATGGAGGGCTGCGAGAGCCTCCAGGGCGACTCCACCTGCACCGTGCTGAGCGAGCGCGACGACTTCTTGATCACCGTGAAGTCCTGCGGAGCGGTGGGGGGGCAGGGAGGTCGACCGCGGGCAGCGTGAGCTCAGCTCGACGCTCGCAGAATCACGGAGAATGAACGCCGTGCGGTGTGGACTCGTGTGGATTTAACACGGCGCAGCGACAACAGCAGCAGCACGCCGTGGCTTCGTGGAGCATTCGTGCGATGGAGAGCGGGCGCAGACCGGCAGAGAATGAACACAAGACCACGGGGATTCGACACAAGTACCGTGAGACTTCGATGCGGCAGCGGCACCGCATGCGTATTTCTAGTTTATAGAGCATTAACACAGCACAACAGAGTGCGGTGGTCGCCACGTTGTTTTGATCACTAGAACATCCCCAAGTTAACGCCAAGGCAACGCTTTCATCCACCTAAAACATCATCTCTTCATCAAACATCGATCTGTGACCAGAGTCACACCAAACTCGCCAGGCCGTGGCAGCTTGCAAGCCGGCTCGAGCCTGGTCAGCCCACCCGCACCCCCCCACCCGCACACCCCCCACCCACACACCCCCCCACCCGCACACCCCCCCACCCGCACACCCCCCACCCGCACACTCCCCACCCGCACACCCCCCACCCGCACACCCCCCACCCGCACACCCCCCACCCGCACGCGCCATCTGGAAAACCCGGGGCAGAGATCCGAATCCTCCCTGGACTCGGAGTCACGAACCAACCCCCGCTCAGGCAGCGCTTGTGGCTCACGGCCGCTCACCTGGCGCACGGCGCTGATGTCCAGCTGCTGCGGGAGCGAGTGCTTGCGGCTGCCGTGGCCCTGGCGCTCGGGGCTGCCCTCGGCCGCCGGCACTGGCGACTCCGGCGCCGAGAAGACGCTGCCGCTGCCGCCCTCGGCCACGTGGAGTTCGTCATCCTCGCCCACCGACTCGAGGCGACCCCGGCCACCTGCCAGGTCCGCAGGCACGAGGGCACGAGGGACACGGGGGCACGGGGTCATGGGCAGGGATTAAGCGATGTCACCGGAGAAATGAGGACTCGATTGGAGGCATGGAGACAGAGAGGCGCAAGGACCTTGGTGGGGGAGACGATTGGGGCAGGGCAAGCGACCCGCTCACCTGTGGATTTGCTGCGAGGTTTTGAGAGAGAGCGCACCACCACCATTGCTTGCCCCTCCCCAGCGCCAATCTCCCTCCCGCCCTCGCTCTGGGGGTGGAGGGGGGAGTGGGAGTGGTGGAGAAATCAAAACGTGGCACGGAGTTAGATGGGGACGCGCGCACGTCCCCACCTCAACCGCCGTGCCACCGCTCTGTCCACGAGGGGGAAAGTCTCGCGGAACCCTCAAATGACGTTTTGGAAAATACGACAGATGTTGTGCCATCCAACAGGGCGGCGCAGTGGCTCGAGCATCGTGGCACCCCGCGCTCAGAAGGTTGCCAGTTCAAATCCCAGTCGGGGTCGTGACGACGACGCGTCCCGACATCTCCCCGAGCCGCCTCGCTCACCGCGGGTCTGGCGTCGTCGGCTGCCCCCCTGGCGGCCTGCGTCGCCGCCGTCGAGGGACCGCGGCTCTCCTCGTTTGCCCCGCGGGGAAGCGAGCCCGGCGGCAGCGGCGGCGGGGCGGCCGCGGGGCTCGCGGGCACGGGGCCACGGGGCGGCCGCTGGGAGGTCGAAGGGCACGGCGGGCGGCCGGGGCCCGGCTCGTCGATGCGCGTCGCTTGCTCGGAGAAGGAGCGCGACACGGGAGCCCTCGCGGCGGCGGGGTCGACCTGCGGCCACGGCGACAGACGGAGGTTTGTTTTTTAGATTTTTTTTTGATCGCGAACGCTCGGGGTTTGTTTCTGATTTTTTGTTGCTGAGATTGCCGTCCTTCAAGCAGCGCCTCCGATTAGCAAGGTTGGCTACTATGTACAGTGCGAAAAAAGTTCGACATGCATACATACACACGTTTGCATACAATTTCAAATTCAGTGACCATCCCCAGTAAACGGCATTCAGCTGCGACGATTGTACTCCGTTGACAGTCGCGCGTCAACTCGTCGATTGAAATTGATGATGACGCCCGTGATGAATGGTGCGTTTAAGAATCGAGTGTTTACGACTCACGCAAAATATACGCCGACCTTACCTTTAGGCTAATGGAACAAATGAAGTCAGAATGAAAGGGACAGACGCCACGAATGAGAAAGTACAACTGACACAAATCTAAAAAAAACAGACGTTAAAAACTAAGTAAAACATTACAAACGAAGCAAATACTATAAGACCAGCAGCACAAACAAGAACAGAACAAACTCGGCGGGCCGTACAACCAACCACATGGACACAACCGCCGATTGTCGATTCAAACCCTGACCCTGAATTGTACGTATGCATGGTGAACTTCTGTCGCACCGTACGTAGCCAACCGCACTAATCGGAGGTGCTGGGGAAGGACAACAAACTAAATACAACAACAACAACAAGCAGTTCCAAATAAACAATTTGTGACCATTCACCACAGCACTGGCGGTCGCGACACCTTGCGACGTGAACGCTCTGAGTCGGCCGGCAAGCGAGGACTGCCGCCTGCGTGGGGGCAGCAGGAACCAGGTCTCACCTTTCCCTGCTGCGGCTCCTCCTCCGCCACCGCGCCCCTCGCGCTCCGCCGCTTGGCTCTGCGCAGCGCCTCGTGCTCCCTCTGCTCGTCCTCGGCTCCGCTCGCCGCTCCGCCACCCCCGTTTGCCGCCTCGGCGCCGGTCCGACCGGCCGCCGGGAGGCTCTCTCCGTCCACCGCCTCGGCGTCGGCGCGGCGATCGTCCCGAGCGCCGGCGGGGGCATCCCTCCTGTGCGTCCTCCGCCGCTTGTGGTCGCCCTTGCGGCGCTTCTCGCTTCCGGGCGCCGCGCCGTCGGCGCCGCTCGCCGCGTCGTGCGCCGAGCTCGCGCCCTCGCCGCGATCGTGCTGCCGGTGGTGGCCGTGGTTGCCGTGGTGGTTGTGGTTCCGCTGACTGTTGTGGCGGTGGTGGTGGTGGTGGTGGTGTTGGCGGCCGCGCGAGTCGTGGCGGGCGGCAGTTGGGGTTGTGCCGGGTGAGGTGCCGGTGCCGGTTGCTGCGGCGGTGCAAACGTCGTTCTGCGGCGCGTCCGGAATCGCGGCCGGCCGCGTCGCGGCGTCCGTCCCGGACTCGCGCGCCACCACGAGCTGCACGGTGCCCGAGGAGGAGCGCAGCAGCGCCACCGCCTCGTGGTGCGAGAGGCCCACGAGCGGCCGCCCGTTGATCATGAGCAGCTCGTCGCCGGGGAGCAGGCGGCCGTCCCTGCGCACGGCGACACGGGGGGTGGCGGTGGGGATGGGGCGGTGGGGATGGGGCGGTGGGGATGGGGCGGTGAGTATGGGGCGGTGGGGATGGGGCGGTGGGTGCACGCAGAAAACACGGACAACCGGTGATGCAGAGCACGGACGTAAGCTGCTCACGCGAGCGGCTCTGCGACATGTGAAACGCAGCCACGCCAGATGCCAAGTTGCGTCGAGGGCGAGAGGTCGGGGGCAGGCCAGGGCGGCGAAGCGGGACGCGGCACGGACGCGGCGCTCTCACCTCTCGGCGGCGCCGCCCTTGTCGATGTGCGTGACGAGGAGGCCGTGGGGGCCTCCGCTGCGCGAGCTGTGGCCGCCCTTCACCTGCACGCCCAGCCCCTCGCGGCCCTTCACCATGTGCAGCCGCCACACCTGGCTCTCACCCGACTGCACGAGCACACGCAGAGCGAACACGCCCGTGCACGCCACGGAAAGAGAACTCCACTGTGACTATGCGCTGCTCTAAAACGTCTTAATTGTTTCATTATTATTATTATTATTATTCTTTTTAAACCAAATCTACCAAACGTCCCCGCTCTCTTCTGTCGGGGATTTCCGGGTGATGCTGCAGCAGCGTCACCCCAAAATCTGTCGGGGATTTTTGCTTCGGCGTGAAAGTTTCCTGGCTTCACGCACGACCCACGGAGTGGCCAAAAAGAGTCGTCGGTAGCGCTGGCAGAGAAGTGGACGGAAGGAGGCGTCACCGAACTATTGTTGTCATTTAGAGCGCCGCACACAGTCTCCCACGTGCCCTGGCTTCAGGGAAGTACTGAACTATTTTTAATTATTACTATTTATTCTATCTTGCCAGGTAAGACCCACTGAAATATACAGCTCTTTTTTTCAGAAGCGACCTGGCCACGAATGAGAACCCAATAAACTGGCTTATCACGTGGGAATATATAGCAGCCACATACTCTACATGCACGTTTCTAAGTTGTGGAGGGACAAACCGGAGGACCCGAAGAACATGGGACTAACACAAAAACTCCAAACATACAGCAGCAGGCGTCAGGGTCAGGATCCAACCCAGGCCCTCCTGTATACCAGGCGAGGTAGTTAACATCTACTAGCCACCGTGGCATCCAATTGTTGGTCGCGTGGCGATCACAGCCGGTGCTCTTCCTTCTCAGCTGTGAAACGTTGCCAAACGAAGCGAAAACAAAAAAACTCACTTTTATGATCGTTTCATTTAAACGCAGTCTTTAGCGACTGGGCTGAGGCTCTCCGTGAACTCGTCACTGCTGAAGTCACGGGCGTACGGAATCCAGATGTGAACCCGGCGTCTCGGCGTTGCCGCCTCAGACTCCTGAGTCACTCAGCCGGCTCAGCTCCTCTGAAAGCTGATTGCAATTGCGCCCGTCTTGCAAAAGGCGGTAATTACTCCTGGGCATCGCCCATTTGGCCATGCAAGCTTTGTCTGCGTGTGTGTGTGCGCTTTTTTTATTTATTACCAGACTTGATTGTTTGTTCACATTTGCGGTGTTTTGCAGGCGGTGCCGCAGGGATTGTGCAGAAATAATGTACATGAGGGTGGAGCGGTGACACAATGATTATCACACCGCACAATGAACCCCAGGTGAGCTGAGATTGATTTGCGGGCGCGGCTAACATCAGTGGTGGGTGAGTCCTTCCTTCTCCCCCCCCCGGCCTCCCCCATTTGCCAAGCCGTGTTGACCAGTGCGGTGAAGTATGGTCGAGTAATCCCCAACACCGACACGGCATGGGAAGGTTGACCACCGCATCCCCAGTCCGGGTCAATTCAGATACCGAAGATGTTGGCGAGTGTCCGGGAATCGAACTCGTGCCGTGGGGTTCGTAGCGCAGTGCGCTAACCACTACGCTACGGCCCCCGCACGCACATACACACGCAAGCACACACACGCGCACGCACGCGCACGCACGCGCCTTTTGAATGCGTCTAAAATTAATTTCCCATCGCCGGCTCAAGTGCGACGCCACCCCTATTTTCATTTCATCAGCCTCCGCGCTTAATTGCCCCCTATCCCACCGTCTGTTCGTGACTTAATTTCAAAATCGACTTAATTTCAAAATCGTCGTCGCCACGGCGACGCAGGTACGTAAATAAATAATCAACCGCTATGAATGCGAGGCGTGAGAGAAGGAGAGATGGAGCGGAGGACACGAGCGAGACGGAGTGATGGAGAGCGGCTGGCTTCCTATCACCACGGCAACGTTGACGACTGCGAGCCCAGCCACTTTCTGTGCCGCACGCGAGCCTGGGAGCCTCGGTACGCGCTCGGATTAATGCATCCCCCCCACCCCTCTACCAACCCCTACCCCCCTCTCTGGTTATGAAGCTCAGCACCCGTTCACACCCCCCCCATCCCCTCCCAAAGAGAAAGATCACACGTACAGCCTGAACAGACTATTGTATTCTTAGGTTTTTTGGGTAAAGTCACGTAGGTAAAACATTAAAATTAATAAAAGTAAAATAAAATAAAAATCACGACGTTTCGGAGGCAACACAAGCTTCCGTCTTCAGGTGGAACCGTCACAGCCACTTTTATTAATTTTAATGTTTTACCTACGTGACTTTACCGAAAAAACCTAAGAATATGAATCATTGCAGTCACGAAAGCTTCAAACCTGAACAGACTGTTGGGGAAAGTTCTGTTCGCGGGTAAGCGATAAAGGCCGGCACGGCACACGAGGAGGTGGGTGGCCAACACCATGCCCGACCACCTTTCTCTTCCCAGTGGCGATGTTTACACACCACTCCAGGTACTCATTTGAGGCTGAGTCGATGTAGGGTAGGCGCAAGACCGGTTCAGAGAATCGTCACCGGTGTTGACCGTGAGCGAGAATCGAACCCTGGTCGCCAGGTTCGTAGCGCAGCGCTAACCACTACACTACTGCTCCCCACACACACAGACACAACAACACAAGCACCCTCCAAGCCTACGGCTGTGTTACCTACAATAGCCAAATGCCAAACTCTTTATTCAGAATTTCTAAATGTCATTTGTGCTCGAGGTGGCTGAGCGGCTCAGGGTGCAGGGGTCAGAGGGCGCCGAGCCGGCGCTGCTGAGACCCTGGGTTCAACTTCGGGACTCTGGACGCCTGTTGATTAAACCGTGGTTGTCAAAGTGTGCTGAGCGGATGAAATTTGGCTTCGAAAAATTAATTAGCAACACATTCCAGTTTGGACAAGCAACATGAATGCCTATTCTATGGGCACGCCTGGGAGTTGTGTCTGTCTCAACGTAATAATCATTTTCTTCAGATAATAATAATGATGATGATGTTGTCTATAATAATGATGCCCGTATTTATTAAGAATGATGATTCTTCACAATAGGGCAGAGTGAGTTTTTTTTAAGTGGTTGGAGGCAGCGGAGCAAGCAGGTTGCCGATCTGTCTGCAAAGGGAATGAGCATCGTCACCATGGCACGGACCAAAAATGTTATAAAAGTTTCACGTGTTTTGTCGCAATTTTGTTTTAGTTTCGTGCTGTTTAATCGAGGTGACTCATCCGCCAGCTATTGCCCAGGGTGTTATCCGGTGAAAGTTATTTGATACGATGGGCCTAGCTTCGTGTTTATGCTCCTGATTTTGTCTTTTTGGTGATTACCCTCCCCCCACCCCCCCAGGCCACTCTTGCCAATGTCACCTGGCTAAACAGAATAAACGTAACCTATTGGTGGAGAGGCAGTTTGCTCAAACATTCGGCAGATCAATGTGCCGTCCGCTGATCATTTACGTCGATTCTCGCAGGGAGTGGATGGGAGGCATCCTTCAAAAGGATCGCTCTGTACAGAGAAACAAAGCAAGCGCACGCGGCCGCAGGCAAACGGACGCGCGAAGAGCACCTGCAAGACGAGCGATGCCCCGAGGTCGACGCTCGCTCCGTGGGCCGCGTGCCGCTGCGACGCCAGCGGCGGCCTCGCCTCGGCGTCCGTCGCCGCGCCGGGCCGTCGCGGGGCGCCGACGGCCCGGGGACCGTCCGCGAGGGCGCCGCCGCCGGCGACCCCGTCCCTGCGGACGCTGCCGTTGCCCCACAGCCAGGACGACGCCGCCGGATTGGCCGGCTCGAACGACGATCGGCGGGAGCCACCGCCGCCACCAACGTTGCCGCCGTTGCCGCCGCCGCCGCGGTCTAGCTCGGAGCGGCAGAACACACCGGAGTCTCTCTGATCGCCGGCGTCGACGCCGCCGCCGTGCCGCGGCGCCGACGGCGCGGTCGCCGTCGGCGCCGTCACGCCGTTCTCGAGCGAGTCGCGCGGCGTGGACGAGCGCGAGTAGACGCCGAGCTTGCGCGTCCGGCAGCCCGCGGGCCGGGCCTCGCCGGACGACGACGACGATAACGACGACGAGGAGCAGGAGGACGACGACGAGGAGGACGACGAGGAGGAGGAGGTTGGCACCGGAGGGCGGGGCGCGGGATCGGAGACGGCGGCCGAGGTGGCGGCGTGCGTGGCGACGGCCGTGGCAGGGTTGGCCCGGGTCGGGGAAGGTGGCGACGGCGCCCTACGCTTGACGCGGCGGAGCATGACGAGGTGCACATGGCCTGCGCGCCAGCTACGCTCCACTAGCGCGCTGGGGGGGGGGGCACACAAGCAACAGCATTAATTAGGCATGCAATGAATAATTCACCCCCACCGCAAGCGATTTGATGAATTGCCACCAAAATTGGGGGGGGGGGGGGTGGTTCATAAATTGATGAAAGAAAGTTATTATTGTCTCGTTCACTTATATATTTTTTTCCGTCTGCCCTGTAAAGTCCCTAATGCGCTCCAACAGCTCAATTGCAACATTCAGCATATAATCACCGTCATGGGGCGTGCTCTATCCAGGGCTGGATGAAGCGGCCACTATGCTTTCGCCACTCCCCACTGTCCCACGAGGTCATGCGTGAGTTGATCTCATTGCCCCATCTTGGCTGATTCATAACCGGGCTTACTCAAATAAAATTGCTCGTCTTGGTTGTGTAAATTGCTGTTTTTCCCAAGAAGGATTTGTTCTTCCAGCCACCTGTTGTACCCATGGCACGCACTGCGGGGAGTCGAGTCAAGGATTGCTTGTCACAACTGAACCACAATACCTTTTGCTCATCTCGTCAAGCGGCGGCTTTTGGCTGGCCATCGAACAAAGACGGTCACAGCATCGCGCACTTTCAGATGCGCTTCTGCGGCTGTCTGGAATGCTATTCCTTCCGATATGAATAATCCACGAGGACTATGCTCTTTTAAATCATCTAGATTGAGAACTAATGTCTTTAGAACTGCTTTTTATGTTTAGTTTTGTCGTCCTACCCCCGCGCCTCCGTTTAGCGCGGTTGCTTACGTACGGTGTGACAGAAGTTCAACGCACCGACATGCATACGTAGTGCATGGGAAAAAGAGAAAGCAACGGGAAAGGGAAGAGAGAAGTGAATGGCAAATGAGAGGAAGGGCCCGGACAAATGATGAGAGAGAGAGAGGAGGAATATGGCCTCGACGCTGCTGCTGATGCCGTTGCTGCTGCACGAAGCCACGGTTTTGTCTTCACAGGGGACGGCGGGGAGAGGGGAGGGGTTCGGCATGGGGGCCACGTGGTTTACGGCAGGCTTGAGTTGAGTTAGATAGCGAGCTAGAGATCTACAGGTGGCAGGGGAGGGATTCAGAGCGGGGGTGGCCACAAGGGAGCCACGTGGTTTACGGCAGGCTTGAGCGGAGTTACGTCGACATATTTAATGGGCGACCATTGGTCGGTAACGTGTGCCGTGATTAACACACTTGCGGTGGCAGGTTTAACACGACGTTCACATTTACGCGATCTAAGCCATGAAGAAAAAAACTCGATTATGGATAACACGCTTATAGTTTGTGCCCAATTGTTAACTGTCCGTGACTGGATGGAATCGATCGCACGTGGCTTCTTCCGACTTAACCCGAGGACCCGCTGCGTCCCAAATGCATTTGCACGGAAGCGCAGAGACGGCGGCGTTTCTACCTCGCGGGCGCGCAGGGCGCACGCGGTTTCGTAGCCATACTGCGCATTCGATCCGTCCTCTTGATTTTTTCCCAAACAAACAAACCGCGCGCGTTTGAGTAACAAAAACTAAAACGTGAATTGAACCAAACCCTGGACAGAGACTCCTCTACTTGCGCACATTCGACTCACAAACTTTCAGAGATACGAACAAACATGTCCCTACGTCCAGTTGCCTGTTTGAGAGTCGTAAGTTCAACCGCCGCGCAATAGATGGTGGCGGTGACATCTACATCTGCAGAACGTGAAGAACCAGTGGCATCTACATCTGCAGAACGTGAAGAACCAGTGACATCTACACGTACAAAACATGAAGAACCAGTAGCATCTACATCTGCAGAACGTAAAGAATCGGTGGCATCTACATCTGCAGAACATGAAGAACCGGTGGCATCTACATCTGCAGAACGTGAATAACCAGTGGCATCTACATCTGCATAACATGAATAACCAATGGCATCTACATCTGCAGAACGTAAAGAATCGGTGGCATCTACATCTGCAGAACACGAAGAACCGGTAGCATCTACGTCTGTAGAACGTGAATAACCAGTGGCATCTACACGTATAAAACATGAATAACCAATGGCATCTACATCTGCAGAACGTAAAAAATTGGTGGCATCTACATCTGCAGAGCATGAAGAATCGGTGGCATCTACATCTGCAGAACGTGAATAACCAGTGGCATCTACATCTGCATAACATGAAGAACCAATGGCATCTACATCTGCAGAATGTAAAGAATCGGTGGCATCTACATCTGCAGAACACGAATAAGCAATGGCATCTACATATGCAGAACGTAAAGAACTGGTGGCATCTACATCTGAATGACAGGAAGAACCAGTAGCATCTACATCTGCAGAACACGAAGAACCAGTGGCATTTACATCTACATAACGTGACAAACCAGTGGCATCTACATCTCTGGGAGATGACACACCTTTTAAAGCCATTCGCCCCCTGTTTAGTGCATATGCCGTACAACACGCTTGGAATCAACGAGAGAAAAGTTGGACTTGCGAACAAATCGACTTACGAACAGACCTCTAGGAACCTAACTCGTTCGCAAATAGTGGAGTCCCCGTATTCGCTTTGCGATTCATTGGATTTCTTGCTCCACAAATGGCACGGAATAAAATGATTCAGCTTCTTCTGTTGCACGAACCAAAAGGCATAAATAAATCCCCCTAACACCCCCCCTCCACCCCCCCCCCACCACCACTCCCAGCAGCGAGAAACGGAAGCGCCGATGCGTGGGGGGCTGCACGGGAGCCCAGAGTCCGCCCCACGTGACCTTGACGAGCAATGGATGTCGAGAAGTAAGGTCCACAATCCAATCAAGCAACTATCTGGCTTCGTCGTCCCTATGACGTCACATCTCGCGTTGCATTGTATACAGTCAAGTACGGGCTCTCATTGTGAGCCTATGGGTCTCTTGCATGAGTCGATGGCATCTCTGTGCGAGTCTCTGGGTCCCTTGGTTTAGTCTACGGGTCCTATTCTTAGGTTTTTTCGGTAAAGTCACGTAGGTAAAAACATTAAAAAAGTAAAATAAAATAAAAATCACGAGGTTTCGGAGGCAACACAAGCTTCCGTCATCAGGTGGTACAGTCACAGCCACGACAGCTGTATCAAGTAAATGAGAGATTGCAGGAGCTACCACTCCGTTTATATAATGGTTGGAGAAGGTGGTGGGGCAAGGGCCGCATACTTTTTATTAATATACTTTTTATTAATATGGTAAATATGGTACGGGTCCTCTGTGTGGTTCTATGTACGAGTCTCTTTGTGAGTCTATTGAGTCTATGTGCGGGTGGATGGGTCTCTATGCGAGTCTGTGCGTGTGTGTCGGTCTCTATGTGAGTCTATGGAAACTCTGTGCGAGTCTCTGGGTCCCTTGTTTTAGTCTACGGGTCCTCTGTGTGGTTCTATGTACGAGTCTCTGTGCGAGTCTATGTGTGGGTGGACGGGTCTCTATGCGAGTCTGTGCGTGTGTGTCGGTCTGTATGTGAGTCTATGGAAACTCTGTGCGAGTCTCTGGGTCCCTTGTTTTAGTCTACGGGTCTTCTGTGTGGTTCTATGTACGAGTCTCTTTGTGAGTCTATTGAGTCTATGTGTGGGTGGACGGGTCTCTCTGCGAGTCTGTGCGTGTGTGTGTGTGTCTGCAGGTCTCCATGTGAGCCTATGGATATCTGTGCGAGTCTCTGGGTCTCTGTGCGTGTCGATTGGTCTCTGTGCGAGTTTTTGTGTGTGTCTGAGTGTCTCTGCGAAGTGCATTCCATCATCTTATTGGTTCATTCGGAAAAGTCACGTAGAAGGGAAATAATAATATAATAAAAATAAAACATAATAAAATAATTCTCACGACGTTTCGGCCACAACGCAATCAGCCGTCCTCAGGTGAAGAGAAGGTCTGTCGGACTTTACCGAAAGAACCAAGAAGATGAATCCCTGCAGTCACGAAAGCTTTAAATCGAAATTGAATTCCATCACTCACATCGACGACCGTTGCCCCACAAATAGAACACCATCTCGCCATCGAAGGGCTTCTCAAACTCGATACGCGGCTAGAAACTCCTCTCGAGACTTTTCAGCCACCGCGCAGTGATTTTTTTTCTTCTAAACATCAAGTCGAGTAGAAAGGGGGCGCCGTGGTGGCGAGATATTAACTCTCTCGCCTGGTATGGGGCCGTCCATAAATGACGTCACGCACCTAGGGGGGGTCAGACATTTGTGACGATGTGTGACGAGGGGGGGGGGGGGGTTATAAATGTGCACTTTAAATACATATAGACAACACGTTCTACTTTATTAAATAGACTTTTTAATAAATGTTTTCTCCTACAACATCAGAGTGCAGCGCCACATTAAATACGCACTACAATGACAATAGTTTAAAGCGATTTGAAGCCCGTTTTATTTTCTATGGGAATATGGTCTGACTTTTTGTGACGCCGTGTGACGAGGGGGGGGGGGTCAAAAATCGTCCAAAATCGCGTGACGTCATTTATGGACGGCCCCTATGCAGGAGGTCGTGTGTTCGATCCCACCCCTGACGCCTGCTGCTGTATATTTGTAGTTTGCATGTTTCTCTCTCTCCCCGTGGTCGCGTGGATTTTTATCCGGGTCCTCCGGTATTTCTCTCCACATTTGGAAACGTGCGTTTCGAGCATTTGGCTGCTGTAGATTTCCACGCGATGAGCCACTTCGTTGAGCGATCATTTGTGGGCAGGGCGCTTCTGAAAAAAGAGCTACATAGCCCTTAGCTGGAAAAAAAATAATGATCGTAAAATAGTTTTAAATGGAAAGCTCCAACTTGAGCGGGGAAAGTAGGCCACTCGGTTAAAAAAACGAAAGAGAGTTCATTTATATTTAATCCCCCTTGTTATTTGTCGCAAGACCTTCCAAATGTTCATTTATACCATTATATATTTATATAATTGCATTAATATTATATTTGCCTTGCCATTTGTCGGAAGACCTCTCCCGGTTTTCCGCTGCCGACGAGCATCTCCCCCCCCCCCCCCCTCGCTCTCCACACAAGAAGCGTGGCCACTCAC